GTAAAATATAGTTTCAAAAGTAGCATATTTTGTTGTTAATAGTTACGAACAAAAAATAATAATTATCAGATATAAAATTACTAATTCAACAACATGGTCCCATTAAACATGGATTTATTTTTAATTCTCAAGGTTTTTTTATGAATTATCTTTACTATTATTAGTCCCCTGTAGGGAATATAGTAATGTTTTTGATGGAGCTTATTTAAAGTCCTCTGAATAATCTAAAGCAGTTTAACTTATTAGGGATTTAGGTACTGTCTAAAAGTGGGAACTGGTACACCCATTAGATGTGTGATGCTTCAGTGGACAAATGTGTAATAACATGCAGTATTTAAAAAATAAGATTATCTGCTTTAAATGAACTCTTTATCTGTAATATAGCTCAAAACTATAAGGCAGCTAAATGACACAGCTCAGCAAAATATATACTTGAACCCAGTGCCAGGATTTGTTTTCATACTGTTTTAAATCTCTTACTTATGGAGTTAACTGGATGACAATCTAAACATGTTACACATGCAACACATCTGACTGCACATCAAGAGGTTTCTGATATTGTTGTGGGCCTAAGAAGTCTCTAAAAATGTCTCTAAAATTGATTTATTCAATTAATCTAAGTTAGCTGTGCAGCTGCAGAAAATACTGTGGTCCAGCATGTTTTGTATCTGTAGTGTGTAGAACACCCAGTAGTTTATGATTCGCAATGTGAAAGCCTAATTTTGGCCTGAATTATGGGTACTTTTTGGATGACACACACACGCAGATATGCTGTTTCAGAGGCTTTTTGGGCTGCACACGTGGTTTCAATTATAGCATTCCTGCTTCCAGAGTGAAGGAGGGGGTCTCACTTCCTGTGTGCATTACTCCAGCGGTGAAGCACGAACAGATGTTTTAATGTATTCATTCGTTTATTCGTAGGTGTCACTTTGAGAGGAATGTTTAATTCTCAGTCTAAACAAAATAGCACTATCCAGCCATAACACAATCTCTTCTCCTGATGCTATTTCTTGTGTCAGGAGATTTATTTGCTTTAGGAGAGAAGAAAAATGATCCGTCTCATTTTTTAAACATCACCAGGGTTAGTTGGATTCAAATTGCACATTGATGGGTGAGGGGAATTGACAATACTCTCGGTTTTTCTCACCTTTAGTTGCACCACTCTGGAAAAATATCACAAATAGACACTGACTCCTTCTCTGCACTTTTACATTAACAACAGGGCCTACGGATTGCACAACTTACTGAAACCCCTTCAATCCAGTACTATCCAGTCTGGTTCAGTTTGGTGCTGAATGACTAGAGAAAAAAATGAGACCAGTTAAAATTTCCCAAACATTACAAATAGATTAAGTTTGGGGGCAATGGTAGTTGATGTACATATTTAAACATATAAAACTTATGTTCCCTTTGTTTGTGCCCTGATATAAAGCTTCTCTTGTACAGAGAAAAACATCACAGCTTTTAAAGGAAACCTAAATCCTGTCAATGTGTGCCACTCTGTAAAGTGGAAAAAAGGAAAAATATATTTGTGAACAATTTTTTTGTTGATACTTTTTAATTAGATAGTAACTGGCAAGCATAGAAAAACAAGGAAATATAGGGAAAAGAGGGGAAAACCTGACAGAAGTCCTTTAAGTTAGGGATTCAGAAAAGTCCCCCTGTACTTCCATTGGTTTTCAGACTTCACATAACCTGCATCGTCGCAAATTGGTTGGCACATTCAGCAAACCATAATTTGAATATTCTCTCTGATACAGTACAGCTGGTAAATAGGTCAGATGCATAATGTTGCTGATAGCATGGTAATATGTTTAGATGAACAGTTTTACTGGCTGGAACGTGTAAATCTAAACTGGGTTATTTGAAACTACTAAATGAAGTGACCCCTAAAAAAACATCAGTGACTTGAAGTGAACATGTATGGGGGAGTCTCCTCAACTGCAAAGGGTCCACGCCCCCAGGGAAATACACGTCAAGCAGATTAGGCCAAACATCATGGGAAACGTCTGGGGTACTCCTGACCGACTTCATGTGACCTGATTGAGCACTCAAACCACTTCATATGCTCTAATCACCACGGCAGTGCCCTGAGGGTGATCACCTCCTCCATTTATGACTCCCTAATTCTCCACATGTAATTAAACAGATGAAAAAAAACCCTCAATTCTATAACTTACATTTCTCTGCAATTTTGATCAATCCGCTTTTTGCAAATCCACTAAAAGTGATAGGTGAGACCATCCCCGGCCCACTCTAAAAGCAGTTTAGCCACTACAGGTTGGAATTCGTTTAGATTTCATTGACCTTCGCCACCCATAAGAAGTTCAACTCGCACAATTTCATTATTACAAGTTCATCAGAGAGTCATAGCAGAAACTCCTCATGAAATATTTCAAAATTTCCAGAGGCTGTGGTGCACAATTTGGAAGAAACCACTACGGTCAGATCATTTAAATCATGTTTTCACTCTGAGTTTGCTAAAATGTGCCTTCAAAGTTGATATTATCAGCAATGCAGCTTTTAGTGTGTTTTTACTCTACGTTATTCAAATTGAGAATCATAGATAAAAAAATATCAAAACATAAACTTAAATAAACAATAAGTCCTCATTGAGAAGGATGTCGGTAGTTCCTACATGATCATGGCCTTGGACCCAAACCCAGGCATGTGACAGGGTTTCACACATCCTTCCTGGGATGGGGGGTGGTGGGGTTCATTTATAGATGATGGTGTGCATGTGACAAAGGTCACAGGAAGCGGAGTATGGCAGGATTTCCCCCTTCATTCTCTTCAGCTTGAAATCGAGCTTTCACATCTCAATCACGTCTTTCCTGCCACCCTCTCATTGAAGGGCAAAGTTGAGTAGATTTTCTGGATCCACGGACAGATATGAGAGGAGTCTTTATTTTAACAAACAAAGGCAGCAGTGTATCCTGGAGACCACGAACATAAAGCTGAGTGAGTTCCCACATCTAAAGCACAGACCTGACGCATTTACATTTGAAAATATAATGTTTATGCCTTCCAAGAATATTTCTGCTACACAACTGTTGAGTGGTAGGACGGGTTGCATCCTAATTCATGAACTGATTAAGTTTACGCAGTCACACCCACTTCAGATTCACACATTTAACAACATGAATATGAGGATAAACAATGAGGAACAGACTTTCATGAGATATGAGAGAGAAAAAGCCTCACGGCTTTGACTTTTGAACGACGTGTCTGAGCTTTGGAGCCAAACACGGCTTTTTGAATGAAACACTGCACTACTGGTGCAGTCTAAGAACATTTTTTTAATCCAATCAGAGACTTGTTCTTTTAACAGTCATAACAGTGACTGTGTGAATAACACCTTCTAAAACAGTCGAATGTTCACCAGCCCCTTTTTAGATGACTGCAAATAGAACCACTCCATCAACTTTCTCTCCCTCTCTTTATTCTCAGTTTTCCTGTCAGCTTTGATCTTATCACAACACCTGATATCAACCTTTTTAATGATGTGCTTTTGACTTAATACTCCAATGCTCCAGTAAACAGCACTATAAGCTTCTGTGTATTCGCAAAGCGGACGAAGACACGGTTTATCTGTCCAGCACCAAAGCAACATTACAACACAACCTGAAAATGTGGGTGACTTGCTTAGCATAGATTAGAGACCAATGCATTTACCATAAAATCCTCTGGATTAATTTATTAATCTATTCTCTGTGCATATATTTGCATTACAATAAGACGTATCCAGCTCATAAATATGACTGTCTATCGTGCCGTTTGTCCCAAATCTTGTATACAACTCTTTCCTCTGCTTCACTTTTATCGACTCTATGTTTAAATAATGCTGACTTAACACTCATGGGTTAACACCTGCTAAGTGGTTGGTGCCGTTTCCTGGTTGGTTGTCAAACCTTGGGGCAGGGTTAGGGTTAGAAACGCAATTTTATGCTTATTTAGAATATCTGACTTTTGGTGGAGCTGCCAGGTTTCTATCTTTTAAACACATGCCAAGAGAGACAATTCAATTCAACAGATGTTAAAGAGGTATCACTCTACTTAGTCATCTGTTAGCAAGAAATTGTGTGAATAATTTTCAGAGTGCATGATGCAGTTGAAAGAACAAACCGAACAGCAGTTGACGGTACTGAGTGTCCCCTCGCTGCTCAAACAACTGGGTAATTCATCCAACATATTCAAATATTGGCTAAACACAGTGTGAGAGGAAAGGTTTGGAAACGTAATGTTTACCGTATGAGACATAGAAGTCTGGTTGGAAGGTACCTTTGACTGAAAAAGTTATTGGTACAAAGAACAAAATCAATAAACTGGTTTAGCATGAACTTTCGTGCTGACAGTCTGAATGTTAAGACACACATTCCTACATGAATTCATACTTAAAGCTAATAAATATGTGTAAAATATGTGTAGAAGAGCTGACAAGCACTGCACTGCAGTCGTGATCACATGCATGTCGTTTCTAATTGCAGTATTATCATTCCTTCACAGCCAGTCAAATGAAATGTGTGAGCTTTTGCAGAAGCCAAAGGCTAAAACTCTATCTTTATTCTACTCCAACCCCCCTCCTTTCTGGGGGTTCAAATGGTGGATGGCAAAAACAGGGTAAAGATAGCTTGACTTATCCTAAATCTATAGATCTCTCGGTCCTCTGTGATAACCCTATTAGAATATTTCTCCCAACAAATCCATGTGAATAAATCCTCTTTTTTCCCACTGAAGGGGGGTGGGCAGAAAGGTTTGCCTGCCACAACCATCAGTGGTTTCCAGTTGCCTTGGAAACCAGTGATGGTTTTATGTTGCAGCCTTGAATCAGAATAACTGCATAGAATAAGTTTGTTGGGGACATTTTGGAACAACGGTGTCAGTACTCTGAAAATGCTTTTAAAAGAAGAGTCTGATCAAGAGACCTGACAAAAAAGATCAGAACATGTGCTGTCTGCTTTGGTATACAAAGGGATTAATCACAGTGTTTTTAATCATGTAGAAAACACAAACAACACATGCATCCATTAAGGCAGGCTGTGAAAAAATATGTCAATTCAGTTGAAATGTCAGGGTTAATGAAGCGTTTTCCTTGTGGCATGCCTGTGTTGTGTTGCTGCCCCCGTGTGGCCGAATAGGTGCATTGCACTAGTGATTATGATGACATATATCAGCTAAATTACACGCAAATCCATGACAATACACTTTTTTAAATATCTGGATATTTCAAAGGTTATACTGAAACTGCTCTGAAAAAGGTAGATAAACATGTTTTCTTTCATTCAGTTTTTTTTATTCCAATCTTTCTCACAATCTGCTCTGTGACTTTCACAAACCCCAAACTCATGAGCCCAGATTCACATCTCCAGACAGTGCAGCTAAAAATATAGTTTTCTAAGGTAACATTTTTGACCAGAACCAGTTCTCCAGTACCACTGATGTGTAGAAACACAACAGTGATTGTGACGACATATGTGCGTGAACACAGGCATGCAGTGACTCTTATTTACACTGCACTTGTAAGATTTCCAGTTTAAGCCGCTGTGCTGTTGTCCATCCTTAGAACTCTGTTAAAAAGAACATGTACCGCTTGTACTGCAAAATACAGATTTAAATAAAGTGTCTGAGCCACAGGAGACAAAACCATGCTGGTTGATGTCGAGCTGTTAAGAAATATCCTGCTTTAATTAAAGTGAAATGAGCCCTGGCTTTGGCTGTGAGATGTCACACTGAACGACTAGAAAACATCCATGTCAGACAAAGAGTGGCTAAACAGTTTCACAGCAACAATCATGTGACTTCACATTTAATTCTGTGCTGATATCCTCATCATCGTGAGAAAAAATGCTAAGAAAAAAAATCTTCACAATCTGATCTCAGGGAGAGCTGCGGGATGGGGAACTGCACGGCCTCCTCCTACAGCCCCTCTCATCACGCCTCCACCCGTCTCGTATTCACAGACATTTCTCCTGCCCTTCACCTCAAAGGCACCGGGCTCAAGTGACGTTGGCCCACAGAAAAGGAGGAGCCGTGTCACTTTATTGCATTGTCACATCAGCTTGCAGGATGAGGAGTCCTCTTCCTCCACTTCGCTGCACGGGGGCAGCCAGTGTCTCTGTGGCTGAAGCCTGGCAGTGCTTACTATTCATTGCTTAAAAAATTCAAAAGCAGGCATGACGGACTCAGTGGATTTCAATGTGGACCTGTAAAGAGATGAATGAGACAAAAACACATTTTTTTTAATTACTTTTTAAATTAAAAACACATACGCAGGTTCACAGGTACTGGTCTCATTTTGAAAGCTTTCATTTCTACTTAATTAGGTAAAATTTACAGCTACACCTACAAGTCAACTTCTTTAGTGATGAGTCATGAGTTGCAAACGCAATTGTCATGAAGAATCTGCCGCCTTCTTTGGGCAACTCAGTTTGTCAGCCATGTACCAGATCATTCTTACAAAAGGAAATTAAATTTTCCACCAATTTGAATCATAATCTGATTTTCAGCACGTCAATTTCCAGGAAAAAGCACGTTAAATAAATCAAAGGGAGATGTTCCAGAGTTGTAATCTAATCACCTATCCATCAGAACCTAATTCACAGGAATGAGTTCAGCAACACATTTAAAACAACACACACTAAAATGTTACTATAGTTTAATTACCCTAAATGTAGGGTTTTAAAACGACTTCCTGGATATTTGGAGCGATATTAGACTGCTTTAGATTAAGCTGGACCAGAGAAACTGACCCATGTTTCTCTGATCTGCCTGGGGCTGACCCAAACATGAAGGCCTTCCCGGTCAGCTGTTGGCATGACGACACGCAGCTTGCTGAACGGGAAGTTTAACAAAGAAATGGCAACAATGCGGCTACTAACCTGTAATCTGACATTAAACATCATTGAGGCGACAAGGTAGATGTAAGGGAATCTGATTCTCAGGCGCCATGCGAGATCGAAAAATATCAACAACGTCCTCGTCAAGCCTTTGCAAAACACTCCGTACGTCCGACCAGCGGAGCCCGAAAACCGGAGCACTAGGTACGACAGACCCGCCATCAAAGGCCAAATCTGCCCGGAGGTTTGATGGCTTATTAAGTCCACTGGTGACAGGAGACGAGAAAGGAGCCGACTGGCCTGTGAGTGCTCATATTTTTATCCCTGTCTGACACCGAGCTCCATCTTACACATCGGTTGTGTTGTCAGCGCTACTCCACCCCGAAAGCTTCTCCAAAGAGGACTGATAAGGATGAGACACGCGGATGTAGAACTGTACACTGGGTCCACTAATCCCTGAGTTTAGACTGTCAGGAACCTGAGAGTTCCATTCGTTTTAACGTAGTACCGACTTCCTTTCTCGTCTCCTATCCTTATGACCAAAATAATTTGTTGTAGATATTAATAGAAATCAAGCAGATAAACTATTATACATTTTAAAATATTTGATCAAATGATGACAATACTTATGTCAAGTTTGTTTCTTCACTGTCGTGATGGAGGAATTCCACCTTTTCCGAACAACAAATGTCGACAACACCAAACAAATAAATAATATTTCAATGTAATTGTAATTTAATTTACGTTTGATAACACAACATTTTAAAGGGGGTTGGCATATGATGAGCAGATTATATGTGTACAGTAGTCATATTACATCTGGCCAAAGTGATAAATAGAATTTGAACTAAAAAACTCTAAATGTCAGGTAAAAAATGTTTTTCTCTGTATTGAAATACTCTCCAACATCAAAAGAAGAAGAAGTAAAATACAATTCAAACATGACTTTAGGATGACTGGTATGGCAAATTCGTATAATAAACCACCTACACAGTTAATCAGCATATAAATTCAATGTTTACAGCAGTAACTGTATATGTTTTTATTATCTTCTTAGTCCTACTCCTTGTAAGGATGCAACATGGCTACAGTGCTACAGGAGTCCTTCTAAGCATGCAAGGATATCAACCATATCTAATATAACACAATACACATAATTGCAGCCTTTCACGCTCTATGATTTATAGGGACACTCATAAATTTCACACAAACTCCTTCACCCTGTGAAAACTTAGCCTGCAAAGCAAATCTCCGGAAACAATCTTTGTACTTTAAATTCCAAAGTAATCAGTGGACCGTAAAGCGAACGTCACTTCCTCAATCAGTGTCACACCTAAATCCACCGCCTCCTTTATTTTTAATTATAATAATTTTGTTAATTGTAAAACACGGCTGTTAAACATTTTCCTTTTCACGTGAAATCTCACAAAATTTCTTATTGCGTATTTAAACGCAACAGACGGAATTTGAGCAGCTTGTTTTCTGCCTCAGTGGGCGTATCGGCCCGGCCCACCGGATGCTCCATCTACTGGAGAGTGACTCCTTTTTTTCCTCAGGGGTGGTGGCCGCTGTTTTGCTCCATAGCTCCCAGAACAGCCCACGAAAGCATGGGAATGTTGCCAGAGCAATTCTGAGTAAAGTTTATCTAAAGTGCGGTTGAAGTTACTGTAAGTTTCCAACAAGAAGTTCCATATCCGAGGAGCTCTGCTGTGTTAGTAAAGGTCGTTAACAGACGCCTGTTGGGACGTTTCCCTAGCGAGCAGTTCCGGACAAAGGAAAAGAGACTTGAGCTAACGTTAGCTGGCTCTGGGGCTAACTTAGCATTCCTCTAGCCGCGGCGCAATGCAGGCCATAAAGTGTGTCGTTGTCGGAGACGGGTAAGTCAACATAACTGAGCTGACTATAGATTAGCGCCTCCAAATAGTTGTTTAACTACAAAGCGTGAAGTTAGCTGAAATGCTGACCTCATACTAGCTAACGAGTAAACATTTAGCTTTTCGTTTTTTTTTCTGACGGGGAAAGTTAGCTCCCAAGCTCTAACTACCTGTTAATCAATGCGACCTGGATAATGTGAACAAGTTAACCCCTGTGCAATTATGTCTGACTCTGATAGTTATTTTCCCCCTGACACAAACATGTTTTGTTACACAGTAGCTAGTAAGCGATAGGGTGGCTTTCTTTCACATAGGTTTTCCATGTAATCAGTTATTACGAGTAAATTAAATATCTGTTCTGACCACTCTGTAATAACTTGGAGCTGGACTCTAAAAGGCTGATGAAATGCTAATCTGCAATGGCTGAGACTCCTGTTTGTTTATGTCATAGGTGTTTGTTGCTCTGTATTGGATTGTTATGCGAACGCGGGGCGTGTTTCCCACTTGTACAAATAAAATCTGAAGGTTTTGTTTTCGGTGGTTTAAAACGGAGGATTAAGCAATGTGCCAACACTCGGTCAGATGAGTAATAATAGGTGGGAGGTTAGCACACTTGTAACTTCTTATGCAGGGCGTGGTGGATACCGCAGCAGCAGTCACTCATGGCTCTTTGAGTTGGGTTTTTACTAGTTTTTTATTGCGATTTAGGCTAAGAGGAACCTTGTAGTGGACAGGGGTCATTGTAACTGGCAAATATGTATTCTCTACTGAATTGTGCACACTTTACACCAAGATGCCAGCACAGTATTGGCTTAAGCATGAGGAATGTCAGAACAACTAAAGAGACTGTTTCCTCATTCAGGTTGCAGAATGACATTTTTAAGATTGAACAGAAAAATGTGGTGAATGAGTTGACTGCATTGCTTTCTTCCTCTGTAGTCACAGCTACAGTATTGGTTTTCATGCCTTTGACCGCCACCCTTCAGCTCAAATTCTTTGCCTTTTTCCTTTTTTTATTCAGCTGAAAACCCAAATCTTCCTGCAATTTTGGGTTTTGAGCTGTGACTTAGTTTATATTTCATCTTGGGATCCTCACTGACATGGAATCTGATCGAATATAGGAATTAATATGGGGAGTTAAACAATTGGAAAGATGAAACCATTGAAGAAGATGTGAGGTTTGGATGATGGTACAACATGTTTGTGTCGTCTTCATTTTGAAAGCTACTTAATTTTTAAGTAGTCTTTATGCATCCAGCTTAATTATTTATTTGATCCATTAGTGATTTACGCAAAAACGGGGTGTTTTGTCTGATCATCATGTTCCTAAATGCACTGTATTAGCTTTGTTTTTTTTCATTAAACTGAGCCTGTCTCCTCCCTTCCAGTGCTGTGGGTAAGACATGTCTGCTCATCAGCTACACCACCAACGCCTTTCCTGGAGAGTACATTCCCACAGTGTGAGTATACCAGACTGCAGTGCAGAGCGTACTTATTTATTTATGACAGCCTTGCTGTCTGTCATTCGCCTCCATCGTCAGCTTTTACACAGCCAGCACATGATCGAAATGATGTCTTGGGGTTCGGTCATTTTTACAGCAGAAAGTTTGCCTGCTTGTGGGTTAAAGGTCACAATGGCTGCTGTAGACTGTAATTAAGATTCAGGGAAATGTCCTTTACTGGAAGGGATGTAATTCTGCCTCTCATCTGATTCTAGATCAGCTGTTCTGATCCTTGTCAGTATTTCTGTGATGTAGACTGACTAATAACAAAGCCCCTGGTTCTGCCAAACTCAAAGGCAGTGATTTGTTTTTATTTTCATTGCTAAAATGAAGTCAGACATAACTGAATGTGACTTCCTCTTCAATACCTGAATTGTGTATCTGTTTCACACAATTTGGAGTTGGTGAATTTGGTTGATACGCTTCATTTGTCAATGCCTCTGTCAGGTTCGACAACTACTCTGCAAATGTTATGGTGGATGGGAAACCGGTGAACCTGGGTCTGTGGGATACAGCAGGACAAGAAGATTATGACAGACTCCGCCCACTTTCCTACCCGCAGACGGTACAAAAATCCATATATGTACATAGTTATGTATTTTTTATCATTTACCAAGGCCTGTGAATTATCCACATGCAACATCTGGGTTAGGAGAATGAATAAGGAAGTAAGAAAGAAAAACAACACACCTTTGTGAGCACACATTTTTTCTATTGCTCTTAACAGGAAGTGGCTGTCACTGGTTCTGATTGCTATGTTTTCTTTGTCTTACCAGGATGTGTTCCTCATCTGCTTTTCGCTTGTGAGTCCTGCCTCCTTTGAAAACGTCCGTGCCAAGGTGAGTAGAGCCTGTGCAGGAAACGCTGAAGCCTGAAAGAGCGCCCGTAACAATTAGCTGTAGAGCACATAAAGAGCTCAGCCGATCCAAAGTTTTGGTGTTTAAGTTCTGATGTTCAGGCAGCCCTTTAAAATGATGTAGCCCATTTCAATCACCGTCAGAAAAAGTAGCTGTGAGGAGGAATTCAGATAAATCTATATTTTAATCTTTATTTATCCCAAATGTTAGAGACATAGCTTGGAGTCTCTTAACAAGCAGTTCTTTTTAGAGACACATGCTTCCACAAATGGGTCACATGATGGCTTGTATGCAAGGGGAATTTCTCTTGGTGATAAAGCCACAGGAAATTATTATCTGACCCTGCAGTTCCGTCAGCTCGACAGGCTGGTTCTTAAGAGCTCATGACTGTGCTGCTACTGTTTTTCACACATTACAGAAAGTAATAAAAGCAACAGTTTTTATTGATTTGTAACAGGAATTATTTGGTTTTAGCTTTTCTATTGTGATCACCGGTAGATGTGAGCTTTTCCATGTTTTCCCTGTGCAGTGGTACCCAGAGGTGAGACACCACTGTCCCAACACTCCCATTATCCTGGTGGGCACAAAGCTGGATCTGAGAGATGACAAGGACACAATGGAAAAGCTGAAGGAGAAGAAGCTTTCTCCCATAACATATCCCCAAGGCCTGGCCATGGCCAAAGAGATAGGTAACAATTTTACCTAGTTGCCTCTGACTAAAGAAATGTATTCCCGAAAGAAGCCTGTGGTTGAATGCGTTTGCTTTGCGCAGGTTCTGTCAAGTATCTGGAGTGCTCTGCCCTGACTCAGCGTGGCCTTAAAACGGTGTTCGACGAGGCCATCCGGGCCGTCCTGTGCCCACCACCCGTCAAGAAGAAGGGCAAGAAGTGCAGTCTGCTCTAAGACTCTGTGACCGCTGGTGGTGAGGGTGGCTAAAGTTACAAGAGAAACACACCAATATTCACACAGAAACATTGTACTTCAGTCTGTCCTTCCATATGTGTAGCTACAGCTGTTTTCATGAAAATCAAACATCGTGTCACATTTAAGAGAAGGGTTTGGACTGTGGAAGACCCTGATTCTATGTATACTGTAAAGACAAAACTATGAATTTCTTGAGGCCTTCTAAAATGGATTGGATGTTTTGTAAAAATGGGCTGTGGAATGTCTTCAATTTCCCCCTACACCTGTTGTCCACCCCCTTTTTTGTTTTGTTTTCGTTTGTCTGTTTACGGTTTTTGCTGTTTTGAGCAGAACAAATATTGCCAAATATATTCTGCACACATCCAGTAGCTGAGAAGAGCTTTGTTCTGTCCTCTCGGATCCTCCAAATCAGATCTGACAGCTCGCTATTAGTCCAGCTCCTCAATCGATGGCATTTTCACTTTTCTTTGTATGAAGGCAGGCATGTCTCCCAGCTGTCAGCAAGAAACATAGAATAACCATCTGTGAAATCGTTGTTGCCTCAAATAATTGTGTACTATAACCTCTTTGCCAGTAGTTTGATGTCTGTCGTAGAATGATTCATGATGCCTAAAACACACTGAAACTTCAGTCTGGGAAAAGATCTGCTGACACCAACAGTGCTTTTAATCCCTGAGAGAGTAAACAGATCCAGTATTTTCTGCATCTGATCCAATTGGACAGGTCAGATGTAAGTTTTGGTTTTTTATTATTTCCCTTAATGTGTCTCCACTGTACAGCCGCCCGCAAGTACAAAGCTGAAAACTTGACTACATATTGGAACAGAAATGTTCATGTTTTGGTGATGGGGAAGCACCTTTAAAGCTCTGTGGGCATTTGTCAAATACTTTTTATTTTGTGCAGCACACTTAACTTTCTTAAACCCATTTTTTTCGCATCACTACTGGCTACTTTGCAATATCACTAAAGCCGTTTCCACACGTAGACACTGAGGGGAGGGGGCTGGTATCTGTAAGCGTCCGCAGCAGTGAGGCGCGGGCAGAGCACTGGTCAGCAGAGGAGACTCTCCCCTGCACGGCGGCCGCAGCAGCTCCAGAGCATTTGGCTGACGTTGTGGTGACAATGTGAGCAAAAGGCCATGCGGCACTGCGCCAGAACATCTCATTTCAGGCCTCCAGTGTGTGTGTGAAAGCGGCCTAAGAGGAGCATCTATGCCTGCTAACAACAGTAACAAAGCTACTGTGGGTTATGGTGTAGTATACAGTGTACTCATCTTTTTGTCATAATCGTGATTTGATTATTTTGTATCTCTTCACAGAAGTTAATTTTACTGTATTGTTTAACTAACACTATGAATATCTATTACCTCCTCAGTTAACGCTACCTTAATCTCCTTACAAGCCTAGCTTTTTGTAATTAATGCTGATAGCATGTCTGTGCATCATATACTGAAAAACTAAGATTAGATTCGCTACATTTATATTTTTTTTGCCTATTTACAAGATGTATTTGAACTACTAGATCAGGGGTTAAGTACATGTTGCTCATCGGTATTGTATACAGACATCAAGCTGTGCTTTTGTTCAAGCCAACATTGTGACTCTTTAGTTTTATGGATAAAAGCTATTGTCACTTTTTGAGAAAGCCAATAAATTCATGTAAAAACATTTTTGCTTTGCTTGAAACTGACCTCGTCCCACACAACGTGCATCCTGATGGCTTTTCTGGAACTAAAGATTCTGGAGATTCTGGATCATTCTTCAGTGAGGCATTTGTTTCAGCTGTTACAATCTTGGATTTTAAGAGCTGGATCGTTTTCCTTTTTTAGTCTTGATAACAGAAACCTCAATCACTGAAGCTCGCACCATTGGGGCTTCTAACACCATCAGTGTCTCACCTGAAGACGCTCTAATTCAAAACAGAACTACCTAATTATTAAAGTGGACTACGACAAAAATTCAGAGGTAGGATCTGCTGAATGTTTAATTTTTTTCCAAGAACAACAAATCATTTTCATTCTTGTATTTCTTACATCAAACTTCTCTGGTTTCTTCCAGTCTTTTCTTCTGGTTAACAGCCCCATAAAAAAGCTAATGAAGTAAAATATATTCATAGAGATGCTCTAACATATTTTATGCCAGTACAGTTTCTCACTTTAAGGAGCGTTTTTTTGGGAAAAAAGAAAATCATTTGAGGGAAGAGTACAAATGATATTTTTTTGTTTACAATAAGACATAACTCGTGAACCCACATGGGTTGAACACTTGTGGCACATCTTAAATCATAAATAATTCTCACATTCTGATCCAAACACCATTTCATGTTTGTTCGTTTTGGACTGTTCTCATCTCTACTTGCTCAGAGGCTGATTGGAGCGGAGGTCAGGAGTCAACAAATCGCAACAATGTCCCAGAGGTTGTTGGTACGCTAAAAAGAGAAGAAAAAAATGTATTTAGTACAGTTGGAATTATAGAGGAACGTATAAAGCCAGACAGCTTCATGTATTCTCATCAGTTAAAGATCAGGTTAACATCCAATGTTAAGACAAAGTGGGAAACGAGCCCTCAGTTTCTAAACTGGGGAGCACAAGACCTTTTCAGGTTGAGAATTAGATTGAACAAAATGAGTCAAATTAATAGTACCTTTCTACCAGCTCTGCACCAACAATGTCATGGATGTGGTATTTCATGTGGAATTTCACTTGGGAAGTAGTCCGCCGCTCCTCTATGTCTGCCTTTAAGACTTCACTATATTTAGACTTCTTCACCATTCCAAGCACCGCTTTACGACCTGACCGGGAAAGTTATCCCAGTTAGACACTGAAGGGAAACCATAAACGGAAAGAGCCATACAAGCACCAACCTTTTATGAAGTACTTAGTGAATTTTCCAGAGTTGGGAATAGAAAGCCACCAGCTGCCGGCATCCCTCACAGTCAGGACGCCGGACTTCACCAGCAGCCTAATGAGTGAGAAATCACAGCATGTGTGTAAATGGGAAAATGGTGCACGAAAACTCACCATGCAAGTATTAAAATCAACAATCACCAAACGTTCAACTAAAGATTCAGTTTTGGATCAAAATCCCCCAAATCCTTCCAAACACGGATTACATTCAGTCATTCCTTACGTTATCTCAGAGTCAGTGAAGAGAAACTCCCTCAGCATCTTGTCCTTGCTGAAGCTCAGGTCTGTGCACGAGGACACCACTTTGTCCAGGAACTTTTCCACGGTCACTCGTGTCTCTTTTCCCTCCACTCCCGCCAGTACCTTGGCCTTGTAGTTTTCGGCGAAAACCAGCGCGAAGGCTTCTGCGTCAAACCCGAGCTGGAACATCAGCAGCTCTCCATGCTCACGCAGTTTATTCTGTTTGCCAAATTGACACCACATTTAATTCCAAAGGATGGAAAGAAAAAATACTTCACGACACCAAGGACCAACCTTACCACTTCTTTGTCCACCAGTGTCTTGTCACTGTGTATGCTGTACAGCTGGTGTTTCAGGACAATTTGAGGCAAGGCATCATTGAAGAGCTTTCTGGGAAACAGTGTCATAAGATACTCCAGAGTGGATCTAATGTCAGCTGGTCCTTTTAGATTTAGAAAAGAAAGGAATGTGTCAATTCAACACTTATTTTGATTCCACAAAAGTATAGCTACTCATTCAACACGTACCATCTCTGTTGTCCAGAACTCCAAACCTGTCTGTGCCATTTCTGCTTCTCTTCACCTTGAAAGTGTCTGATATAAGAGCCCTCTTCCTGTTCATACCTGTAGCAGAAATGATGGCAGATGGATCTGGACTTTAACAATGATTCAGTTCAACTCATCTGTTAGCAGGCTCAGAAACAGCGACAGAACAGACCCACTTGAAAGATTTCAATTCCATCTTTGTGGATTATAGAATATCTTTCTAACTCATAATAACATCATCTGAAAATATTTTTAAACAGTATATTTTCATGAATAGTCCTTAATTCGGACTCAACCCACTTGAGGTTTATTGTTAGACATGCTAACACTGCTAGCTAATAACAAGTTCCTGTTCAAATGTTTGGCAAGCCTTTTTCTCCAATAAATATTACCTGATGTTTCCGGGCGGTAATAATTAACCTATACATAGTTTTATACCACCCTAAGATCCAGTGCTTCTTATTTCCTCTTACAAGAAACTTTAATGTGTTTTCACACATCACTTACAGACGGGTAAAGGCTAATCCCGCGGCTGCCCCCTAGCGCATTGGAGGGCCTACATGCGGAAGTAGTGTCCAGTTTGTTGTTAGCATGTCATGCTAGTTAGCGGCCCCATTGGTGAGACAAAACGCGCAGATGTTCTTTCAGTATCGCATGTCCATTCTTCTCTAAAACAGAAGGAAAGAGTGCTTTCTTATATCCAACAAGAGGTAAGTTTTATTTATCAAATTCTTGTGCCTATTTAATTTGTTTAACATGTATTATAAAGTGAAATAATCACTATAACAAGTAAAACTAAATGGCTAAAGAAAATAAACGTCTAACGCCACATCTCTACTCTTTTGATGTGTATGCACTTATTGCGTCTAAAACCTAATTTTCAGATGCATACAAAGTATATACAGATTTAAAAGGAACGCCCAAAAAGATTTGGGAAACGACACCTGTTAAAAAGACAGATACAAAGGGTATGCAACATACTACCAATAACATACACTGAGAAGGAATCCAAGTATATACACACAAGAGGCTTTACCTCTTAAAGTGGTCATCAGGTGTTTTGATCTCAGTTCTCTACAAATACTACTATTAATAATAATAATAATAAAACATGCATGTTTAATCTTCCTGTAACTGTGGAATTTTTCATTTCCTTGAAAATATTGGAGCTTAAATTGCATGAGTGCTCTGTTTAAATTAAGTGTTTCACTTTGTTTTGTTTTTGTTTTTAGTGCTTTGCCTCCACAAAATGAGAGTTGGGAATACCAGCATGACTGCAAGTTCAGACAGGCAAACAAATCATTTGAAGACCACCCTGTTGGAAATCACGGCCGTCAAGAACCTCTGAATCCACGGCGTCACCAGCTCTTCTCTCCACTCGGCATTTGAAATGCACCGAAACAGATCCCGCAGTCCCATGTCCAGCTACCACCAGCAGTCGTCCGACAGGCCAAAGAGGGATGAGGGCAGAGGTGATGGAAAATTCTTCAGACCCACAAACCACCACCGGCATCAGCTTGGGTCAGCACCTCTGAGCTCTCAGGTGTTGAGCACCAGAAGGGAGCTGTATGAGCGAGACTTTCCTCTCTACAAACAGCCGGTGGAGGTGGGCTGCTTCTCCCTGGACTCCCAGCGAAGATTTTTCAATGACAGCAGGCAGCTGAGATACTATGTGGAACCCGACAGATGTCCTAATTTCGACCTGAGGGATGGGTACAAAGACCGCTACGTCAGGAGGGACGAAAATGTGAAGGAGCGGCTGGACCACATTCTCAGGTGGATCGTAGCCAACCGATCGAAGCTGAAGTCGAGGGCGAGCGCAAACTCATCGTGGTGAGTGCTCCTGTTAGCCTACTGCTGCTTTTTTCCGGCCTGCTTTCCTCTCCCTCGCACAGCCCCTGAGACCGCAGGACTCTTTGATTACCCTCTGCTCCTCTCAGTGCTTTAGATGTGGACTTTGTGACGTGGCGGGGTCACCTGACCAAGTTGCTGACCACTCCGTACGAGACAAGGGAGGGCTGGCTGTTGGCCGTCACCAGGTTCAACGGGACCCTTTACATCAGCGAGGTGGAAACGGAAGCCGCTCGCCAGGAGCGGGAGAACCGCGCCGAGAGGAACAAAGAGATGATGTACTGGGGATACAAGTTTGAGCAGTACACATGTGCAGGTCGGCTCACTCGTGTAATGATATCCTCCCTTTGCTGCATTTTTACAGTTGACAACTGCCTTCCATCATAATAGCTGCCCGTTATGTGGCCGTTTCTCAGCATCAGCCACATAAAGTAATAAACGGACATGTGATAATCTGGCACCTTTGTCCTGGTATGCAGACACTGCCAGCAGCTCGCCTGACCCCAGAGGTGTGGTCAACACCAATGAGGCCTTCTGCACCGTGGTTCAGACCCGGCTCACGGATCACCAACTCCTGTTCTCCGGCGAGGTGGACTGTCGGGACAGAGACCCCGGCGCGCCGCCTCCTCCTGCCTGTTACGTGGAGCTGAAGACCTCCGCAGAGATCTGTACACCCAAACAGCGCAGCAACTTCCACAGGTGGGTGTCACATTTCTGTCCCCCTCCCGTTGGCCTGCATGGATAACGGAAGGCGTCGCCCGTTTCACCAGGTTCAAACTGCTCAAGTGGTGGGCCCAGTCTTTCCTGCCTGGAGTCCCTCGTGTCGTGGCCGGTTTTAAGGATCATGACGGAGTGGTCGTTTCCACGGAGACTTTCCTCATATCAAAGATATCACAGCTCATAAAGGTACTCGTTTCTAGCAATAAATAGAAAAATGAAGCAGCATCTAAGGCACTGGAGGCTTTTTTGTTTCCTGGGTAGCATTTGACAGGGGATAACTGGCATTAGAAGATGAATACACCTGGAAATGTGTTCCCTCCCTCAGTCGGGTGTCTTTGTTACAGAATGAAGACAATTGCTGGAAGCCAACAGTTTGTATGAACTTCTGCTGTGATTTCCTGTCTTATGTGAAGAGAATAGCTACCGAAGACAGTCCCAGGTGAGATATGACAAACAAGGTCACTCCCCTCACTTTGAGGTCCGTTGTTAATTACCGTGTCTTTTTCAGTGTGGTGTACCTGTTCTCCTGGGAGCCCCGCAGAGAGGTGACCTACTCTGTCCACAGGGACTCCCAGTACACCTTCCTGCCTCGCTGGTACATCCAGGAGATGACCAGCAGTCCAGAATCTCTCCATCAGCACTAAGTGAAGACATCATCCTCAGTTTGGGGGCTCCCAATGCTGAAATATTGACTGATAGATTTGATGAGAACTTGTTCAGTGACTGTTTGGGGAGAAGAAAAAGTACTTTCTTCCTAAAATTTAACTGTTCACTCTTTATTATTTTTAAAATATACAATTCAAAAGGAAAAATAAAAAGATCAAAGACAAGTTGAACAGTTACAAAGACTTTTTATGTAAACATGTTAATTCAATTTGTAATAAAATAAATAGGACAGTAACTGACATCTGTGTTGTTGGAGTTTTTATCCAAATGTGCCACTATCTTTGTTATCGTCTTCAAATGAACACACCCTTTCATAGGTTTTCACAAATGACACCACCCTAAATGCAAAGGGATCCCTGTCTGGGTGGAGGACTTTCTTTTTTGCCAGCAGGCCTGAAACATCATGAAACCTGGATGGGGCGTGAACAGAAGCAACGAACTAGATCGCAGATGTGTAGCCAACATGAAGATGTTAATGAGCTGGTCTCTGAAAATGCCCATCAGTTTGGCAGCTTAACAGTGAGCTCACCTTAGACACAGAGCAGGCTACGAGCTCCTAAGTTAAATTCTGCATTAGCAGTACCGACAGAAATACCTTTAAAAACCACAAATCCACCAGAACAAGCAACCAGCTCAACAAAAGGAAGGAACTGACCCAAAAAGTATTAAAAGACATAAACGTTTGCCCAGAGATTAAAAAGAAAACAAAGACAACACTGTATGTTACTGCAGCACCAAGAAACCGCAGAGGGAAGACACCTGTGAGAGAGAGCAGATGGGCCCTATGGTTAAGACAGTCAGAGCTATCAGACCTCAACAGCTCCACACTATTCATGCGGTAACTTAGGAGGCACTTAGCATCTTCAACAGGACATGAACACATGCAGCAGTTACTGTCAAATTCAACACAAAGAGACATTCTGATTTCCATTTTTCTTTTTGTTAAGTTCATTTTAGTTTTCGATATTTGCTCAAATTAGAAATGTCTGAGCTGGAAGAGTAAATCCATCACAGGCGTTCATTTATGGAGAATAGCAACACATTTAAAATAAAGTTTTACTCTTGACTATTTCATGAGGTAAAGGTCTTACGGGTCACAGTTCTGACGTGGCTCTGAACCTGCAGTGGCCCCGCGCTTTAAGGCAACACTGAATTATTGGTCTCAACTCCAATAAAACTCCAGGCATCAGAGTTCATCTTCGAGTCCTGAGGTGTAGTACATAAAATCAGGGTGAGACTTTGATGTCAGTTATCTGTAAGCAGGTTTTTTCACTCACGCAAATGTCGGCAAGAGTGTCGCAAAATCAAGAACAAACATCCACTGCTCCTCATCAAAACTAAAACGATATGGAGTGGTTGATACATGCATTTCCACACTCAGCTGCAGGTTTTCCCATTAAAACTCCTTTCCAAAAGAAACAAAAGCTGTTTTTTGGTCAAATTTTAAAATTCCATCATGAGAATCCGTGCATTTGTTTAAAGTTTAGATTTCCTGCTTTTCCCTGTCTGGATGTTTTGCTGCTCACTGGAGGTACTTCTATTTACGTCCATGACGGAAACTATCCAAGCTGTTCATATTCAGTCTTTTTTAACATAATTTTTTTAAACTCCCCTGTGAATCCACATGCAGGCAGCTGAAGCACCTCACAAAGTCTGCGTTTCTTTTAACGTGTGCAAATCTAAGCCGTCTTGTCGAATATTTTTCCCCAGCTGGAGCCATGTTGGCTCTTTGTTCCATTATCGGCTCGGTTTGCTGTGCTCTACTTAGGAATGCAGCACGGAAAAAGAAAATATACACAGGTTTGGAAATTTCTGCCTGCATGGGTGGGTGGAAGTGACAAAAGTTCAAAGTATCAAAGCCACCCTTGGTCATAAATGTTCAGAGTGAGCATGTAAAACTGTGGCCTTAAAGGCACAAACTCCATTTGTTATTAGAATGCGTGTAGGACACATATAAGCCCTAACACTTGCATACAGAATTAGCAGGAATTAATCAACCATCAGGGGACCAGTGCATTACTGCTGTACTGCATGGGGGTTTCGTCTCAGTGCTTCAGTTTCTGATTCATGCCCATGACTTTGAAGGTGGCCGCGGTGATCTTCTCATAAACGACAAACATGAGGGCGGCGGTCAGCACCGTCTGCAGCAGCTTGGCCTCCAGGCCTTTGTACAAACCCAGAAAACCGTGCTTCCTGAAAGAAACAGAAGCAGGTGCAGTATAACGGCCATCACAACACCCCGCTGAAGGTGACCGAAGGCGTGGACTCGGTAACGTTTTCACTCACTTGATTCTGTCCATGAAGAGGGTGAAAATATTTGAAAGGCTGCCCATCACTCCACCCTTACCGTCACCTTTGTACTGGCCAAACTGATGGAGAAGCCCAGGGTTACACAGTTGAAAGGTAAGATAATTTCTTTACTTTTGATGCCATTATCAGGAATCTTTCATTCAGTCCAGTGTCAGGAGGAATAGGGAATTTAATATTTACCCTCAGGATGGCCTGAATTATTTGGAGAGGGTATGTTGCCGTGGTAGCGATGGCCTTGGCAACAGCTCCAATGAGAAAGATCTCAGCTGAGGAGATCTGTTTTCGGAAATAGAAAAAAAAAGGTTGCCGTTTGCAGAGTGAAACGTATGACCGAGTATGAAATCACATCCACACTTCTTTGTTCTCTGCTCAGTAGCTTTCCAAAGATCAAACGGAAATCCCTCCAGCATTAGAGATGTTACACCACACACCTTCTTCCCTCCCTTGCCTGCCTTCCTTTTCATAGCTTCATAGAACATGAACTGCACAGCTGGGTTGAGGACGAGGATGAGAGACGGCAGAGTGCTGCTCCACAGAGTTCCAACGCCCTCGTTGGCAATGATCTGTGAGAAAGCGTCTGGAAAACAAAAGGCCAAATACAGCAAGGATTCAATAAGAACAGAAAAAAAAAAACCACTGACACGCTGAGCCGCCATGCGGACGTGCACCACACACCAAAAATGCCTCTGTACTGGGTCTGGTGGAGGTCTTCGTTTCTGAACTTCACGCCCTGGAGCTTCAGGCGGGTGTTGACCACCCACATGGGTGTGGTCAGGATCACGTTTGTTACACCTGCATGGACAGCAGACGGTCAGTTCTTTTTAAAGGGATTCCTAAAGACAGCAAGACAGGGCAGGGCCGTTGTCTTATGAGTAAAGCTCTTATGATTTCAGCATGTCTTATGGGAGAAACCTGACTGTTTGCCAATAGAATATAAGTCAGCATCTAATGTCAGATCTCTGGCCTCATAAAAAACACATTCAATTGTTGGTGGAGGAGACAAAGAAGAAACATGTACTACAATGTTTTTGACTCAGCCTCTGTTGTACTTGATTTATTGTTGACTTCTTGTGCCTTTACCTGCTATAATCCCCATCAGCAGGTCTTTTCCAGGTCTGGGTTTGCCTGCCCCCTCCGCCGCTGCCTTCTTAAGTGCATTGAATGTGTAGAAGTAGACAAAGTTGGAGCAGCAGAGGCTGGAGATGACAGGGAACCAGCCTCTGTATAGAGACAGGCTGGGAGCAACGATGGACAATAACATGGTTGGTGAGTGTTCAACACCGTTTCGTCCCAGGGCTCATCCCTGCTAGAATAATTCATAGAACAGTCTTAAATTGTTTAACCAAAAAAAAACACTCCCCTATAAAAAAAAGGTAAAGTGGACAGAACACTTCGGGGAAAAAAAACAATCAGCCAATGTGCTAAAACATACAAGCCTTCTTCCTTTGCAATCTCAGCCAGAATGACAGGGGTAGAGGTAGACTTTCGCTTCTCATCGACTGTAAGACAAGCGCAAAAGTGGCAAAAGTCACATCAAACCCAGGAATTTAGGTTGTTACAGAGTAACAACTTCACAAATGAGAGAATAAGCCGACCGAACACTGGCTGCAGCACTTTCCCAAAGAAACAGTCAAGGTTATCTCCACTTGTACTTGGCCCTTGAAATTTGCCACCGTGGCCCTACATAGTAAAGCTGTCAAAGGCTTAACACAAAGCTTTTTACTCTGCTAAGAGCAAGCCCCTTTATACATCCCATATAGTGCACACAGACATCATTTTTGACAAAATGCCAAAATAAAAAGCGTACAGACATTTAGAATAAGACAAACTACATAAATGATTACAAAAACATATTCTATACTCGAACACCTCTCATCAGCTCCCCGCAATTGTAGTAGAAAGTTATATTTAAGAGGTGATTGACTTTCAAAGTGTGGGACTGAGTCAAAGCTGCTATTGAGTGAAGGAACGATTCACATTCAAATAACTTGGCTCCAACTTCGATGCAGTTGCATAACCTCTGCCCTGCATTATATCAGCTCCAACTCACCCTGCAGTCTGCTTTTGGCCGTGTCCAGAGGAAAGAAGACGGTCATGGCAGTAGCACTCCCCTAAAAGAAACACATCAACGCCAAAATGTTCAATGACACCTACAAACGGGCAAAGACGCAGACATGCTGTGTCACCCCTCATGTGTTTCCACCCGGGCGATAAATCAGCGTTAAAAGTTACATTGGTCAATTTAACCAACGCAGATAGGTTTTAATAAAGCTGTCTCTGTGTAGCACCGAAACTTTACTGACCATTGCACCTGCCACGGCGTGGACCAGCGTCTCGTAAGACAGAAGGCCGACGGTCGAGCCACCGTTGACGGGCATCTCTGCAGGATCTCCCGGTCTAACCGCAACACAGGAAGCCGGGAAGTGACCGCGGAGCGATACGGGGGAGGAGAGCTGGTGGTCGTTCCGGTTTGTCTATAGCAGCGGAATTCAACAAAATCCTCACCGCTAAAAGTCCATGACGGATTTAAGAGGAAGGCGGCGAGGAAGAGTAAGCAAACCGCAGAAAACAGTGGACAAACGTTTCTCTGGGTAGCTTCCGGTGATTGGTGGAGCAGAGTTGACAGCTTCTTCTTCTGCTGCTTTTATTTCCACTGCAATAAAACACGTTTGCCCCCTACTGGAAGCGAAAGTGTTGGCGGCTTCATAGCCCTCATCCACCATTTTTCATCCACCAGGTACGCTTTTTAAAGTTTATTTTTTTCAACATCCTCAAACCGATTTTTAACAGAACATTTTAAACAAAAACAAATCTGAAACAGAGAAAAGATTCATAAACAAAAAAAAATCAACTGGAAAATAAATCTTTCAATGAATGAAGACTTAAGACTTAAAGTAAAAGATAGATTAAACAAAGACATTCAAAACTGAGAAAAATCAGAAGAAACTAACATTTAACATTTACAAACTAACAGAAACATAAAAATAAAAAAAGTGGCCAGCCACTGTAAAAAAAAATACATAACCATATTTTTCCAAGAATATATGATATTTCTTAGTTTTGGATTTTGGGCAGCACGGTTGTTTGGTGGCTTGCACTGTCACATTTCTGCTCTTTAGAAATCCACAGTGACAATTTATATTTGAGGTTTCCCATTCATTTATATTGATTTGTTTAACTTTTGTCCCTCTCCATAAATACTCTTAATCTCTGTATTACGGTTCATCCGCTGATTAGCCTTCAACAGATTTGATTTTTCTATTTAAATTCATCTCCAAATGCGGTCACTATTTTTTTTTGTGATCTTTCTTTTCTGAACACTCTTTTACACAGTCACAGAAAAAGTCTAATACTGGTCCCAATCTGTTGGTTTAACACAATTCAATATAAAAAGCATGACTTGTTGCTTGTTATGTCCAGCATTCTTTGTCCAATCCGCTCTATGGGGTTTCAGAGGAGTCCCTGGAATGGAGCCAGTTCTCTTTAGCAGTTTGTTCAGTTTTTGTGTCTGATGGAGCTGTTCCAACAGACTAATTTCCCCTAATTTCTGAAGACTCATAATTTAGATGTTTTTTCTTACTTGGATTTATTAAACTAGAAACACCAAAAGTGGCAGAAATAAAAAGAATGATAGTTTTATTTTAGAGATTTCGCCTTCACAGCTTGAACATTTATTTGGTGATGACAATGAGCTGTAGCAGGAAATGGTGCAGCTGACAGCAGGGAGCTGGACTTTGCTTTTGTTTTATGGCTTTGAGCAGCTCTTACGCCCAGTGCTCACTTTGTTTGCTCAGATCTGCGATTTTGTGGCTCAACTAACACCAAGCGGGAAGTAGGACGACAAAAGAAGAGACAAGTAACAGGTTTTTGGGAAGTTTTTAAACATGTCCAGGTACCACAAAGCAGCGATCGATGGCTATGAAGACCTCTTAAAGGAGGCCACAAGGAAGGACCTAAACACAGCGGATGAAGATGGCATGACTCCCACTTTGCTGGCTGCTTTTCATGGACACGTCAATGCTCTTCAGATCATATGCAGCAGAGAGTAAGTATGATCAACTCCTCCTTAATCTCATGCTGTTTAAATGTTCGATACAGCCTTATTGTTCATCTATTGTTTTTGTAGTACAGTTATCTGTATATTATTTACCAAGGAAAGCAAGTTTCTTAGACAACTATATTCAAATGAATTTTCATGAACACCAAAAAAGAAACTATATTGTGATTTACACAATAAGTCCTAAATGGACAGATTTTTTGTGGTTGTTTATAGAATTAGATTTGAAACAGCTATTGTTCAAAACCCTATTATGACCACACAAAAAAACGTCCCCTTTCTTTTTAGACCACTCTCTCCCATAAAGGGAGCCAAATGTTTAATCAGCCAAATCCATGCTGAAAAACAAAAGAGTCCTTTATCTGTCCCCACCATCCCCTCCTCCAGACTTCATTTGCCTCAACAAAGGACCTAAAGTCTGAATTCACATGTGGGAAAATAACTACAATATTCATCTGCACATAACACATATAAACTATGTGGCCAAAATGACTCAAAGGATACCTGCCTTAGTCATAGCCAGTCTGAGTTGAGATTTATGACAAGGTATTGCAGTAATACAGTGATCTCAAGTTTTATAGTCAGCAATTAGCAAAGCCTCACTAGACATAGAGTACAGTTCCTTTAAAAGTCACAGGAACCATCTCAACGTGTGGTTAAAGCTGTTTTAGATCATTCCTTTGATAGTTTATTTTTCTTTGTTCCATGCAGAGGTGATCCCAACAGGTGTGACATCTGGGGAAACACGCCCCTGCACCACGCAGCAGCCAATGGCCACATGCACATCCTCAAATTTCTAGTCAACTTTGGAGCCAATATCTTCTCCCTGGATAATGAATTCCACACAGCTATGGATGTTGCGGCTTCCCGTGGCCACATGGACTGTGTGTACTTTCTTGATGATGCTGCGTCACAGCAGACAAATAAAAATGCTAGAAAGGTTGCAAACCTAAAAAAGGAAGCTCAGAAAGAGGCAGAAAAACGTGTCAAAGTCTATGATAACATGAAGAAAAAACAGCAGAGCAAAATTGATAAAATGTACCGTGGGGCAGGGAACACTGGCTCAGTCTCAGAGGCCAGCATGGCATCAGGAGTCTCAAATGGTGGGACCATGAGCAATGTCAGTGAGCAGTTCTCCAAGCTTATTGCACAAGATAAATCAGGCTCTCTTACAGCCAGGGTTAAAGGCACACTCCAGAAAAGGCTTGGGAAGAAAGACAAAGGCACTCTGCAGAGGCCAGGAGGGGATGGGAATGTCATCTTCCTCAAACAGGAGACCGGACAGTCTGATAAGCCAGAGTTTATGGGTGTCTTCAATGAGCAGGATGAGGGCGCGTTAGATGAACAAGGAAGATTTCAAGATGACGCAGACAGCGAAGAACCAGGTGAAGTCAAACAATCCATATTCAACCGGCCTGGACTGGGAGGTCTGATTTTCATGAAGAAGATGAATGTGGAGTCAGAGGACATTCCCACTGGGAACAATGAAAGTCTTGGTTACCTTGTTGAGAATAAGCTATTTGAGTCTGAGGAAGATGCTGCAGGCTTTGATCAGCCTGCTGAGGCTGACCTTCCATGGGATCAGGAAGATCTGGGATTGGATGACGATGAAAACGAAGAGAATTCTCCTTTGGATGTGTTCCTATCCGCCATCTCTTTGCCAGAGTTTTCCCTCGCTTTCAAGAGAGAGCACCTGGACTTGGAGGCACTCATGCTTTGCTCTGATGATGACCTTAAAGGCATTCGCATCCAACTTGGACCCAGGAAGAAGATCTTGGAAGCTGCAGCTCGAAGGAAGAAGGCAGTAGAGACTCCTGGCATGATGAAAGAAAGCTGCTTGTAATCTAGAACGAGCAGGAGAGTATGAAACAGTTATTTATAATTGGTTGTAGCCTAGATGATAGTTATATCTTCTGTATTCAACCAAAATTATACCGAAAAAGGGATTAAATGATTGGATATAGATTTGATATTCATGATTATCTTTGATAAATCTGTTTGAAAGTTAATGAAATTCAGCGAAGTGTAGTGTTCATAAATTTAGATTAAAAATGAAAAAACTGTACATACAAAGATAAGATGTTTGAGAGCTTTGGATAATCCATCACTACTAAATGCTGAGTTGGTTTGGCTGTTGGGTTTTCTCGCAGTCTTTTGACCATTAGGAATAAAAACATATCCAAGATATCAATGTCCATCCATCTTTCATGAATTACACTTTAAATTTGATGAAGAAAATTATTGTGACCACTTAAAGGAGTTTTCATCTTTTTGGATCATGCCATGCTGTGACTCAAATACTCTCGATCTTTTTTCTTTTCTTTTTGGGGTTTTTACTTTAATTCCATATTTGGGTGTCTGCATGTGATCAGAATATTGGTGACAATGTACTCCATCTGTTTCCATCAACAACATGACTGTAAAAAGTATTTCCTATTCTTTTATTGAATATCTGAAAATTAAAAGAGTTTTTAATAATTTTGATAACGCTTATTTGTCTTTCAACACCAGAAACAGGTTGTTGTCTTTTTACTCTCTTGTTTATCATAATGGCATTATCCCATACGAATGCCTCGGTCAGCTCTAAGCAAATGAACACGTTATCGTAGAGCAGTGACGTTCATAACAGGCTGTAAACCCCTCCTTCGACACTGAACTTTGTACTTAATGATCAACTTGACATTCTTATATGCAGATACAGACTACTTTAAAAGAATCATTTGTTCTTTTGACATTTTTAAAAATGTATCCTATAGGTCACACAAACAGCAGTTACAGTATATTCTTTGCTCCTGTTGCATTGTTTCTGTTTGTGTTTGATGTTCCTGCAGCTCTTAATAAGTAGGGTTTCCTTTGTCAACCCTTTGTCTTTGTATATTTTACAACAGCATATGCAGCTGTGAAGTTTGATCTCAGGAAGCAATATAACTTTGTAGGAAAAGAGAAATAGCCTCCCTGGAACTGTACTGTGTATAAATTACACATTTAATTGTGTATTTATATATCTATAATTGTATTTATAGATTTGAAGCAGGTTGAGCTTGAAAAAAGACCCTATGTCTAAATTATGTTATTTAAAATTCCAGATTGGATTCCATTGATTATGGTGTTCCACAAAAAACACTCAGAATCTAGATCTTGAAGGAATAAATAGGAAAGCTGAGATAAATGTGTATATAATCTTTTATTATGAAATTTTCCAAATTAAAAGAACAATCAAGATACTTCCAAACAAATCAGTGTGTTTTAGTGTGTTTTCTTGTAGTGACTTCAATAAATTCAATTAAAACGCGACCAATACGAAGCAGGTATATAGTGAAGCCTTTTGACAGGACCATTTGATTGGATTGAAGACTGCGACATATACAAGGCTGTGACTGGTCATTAGTTTCCTGATGCCTTTGTGATTGGTTAATACAGTGATGGAAGGCGGGTCTTAGCTACTACTGACTACGGGTGCTACTAATTGTAAATCAGAGATGGGCGGAGCCTTCGGCAGGAGGCGTTAAAGATTGCTGACTGAAACTGGTTTGTACTGTATCTGGGAGAGTGTTGTTGCTCTGTAGCAGTCACGACTATGTTTTACAGGTACTGAGCATGTTTTTTGTAATTAATGAGCGTTTATTTGCAGCTTTTTGTACATGGGTTTTGTTTTCCTAAGCTTACCGAGTAGTTTAACTCGGTAGAAAGTCGCCTGTTTGCGCCGCTGCTTGAGAGCTAAGCCTCATTAGTGAGACAGGCTGAGAGCTCCTCCGCCTTGTTGCCGCCCGAGTCTTTGCGTTACAGAACTTGTTGCCTTCCAGAGAGGTCTTGGTCTGCTAGTGCACAAATTTATTTCTGGCGTTGAGACCGACATATCGTAACCCAACTGTCCTGTCTGCCTGCTCTCCAGGATTCTCTAACACAGTCAGATATGGCTGAAGTAATTGCCGTCAGCCTGCACTTGCCGTCCACTATGAACGCCATCTTTCAGGTCCAGGAGGAGTGCAGCCCAACTGTTGCTCCTCCCGCCACTCCTCCTGTCTCTCAGAGCAGCGAGGACTATCTGTTTGTGGAGACCAGGCACCCAAACACAGTCCTGCAGGGGCTTAACAGCCTGCGGCTCAACAACGCCTTCTGTGACGTGACTCTGTGCTGTGGAGGGCAGGAGTTCCCCTGTCATCGCATTGTGCTGGCCTCTTTTAGCTCCTACTTCCAGGTAAACTCACTTCCGCTGGGCTCAAGGACACGACTTCATGTCTCATGCAGGGACAATCAGGGGGGACTGCATTTCTAATGCTCCCAAATCTCCACTTTGTGGTGCTTCCTTCCCTCCGCTTCCTCAGGCGATGTTTTCAGCCGATCTGATTGAGTCCAAGCAGGAGCGCGTCGCCATCAACGGGGTCGAACCTCAGATGATTGGCATGCTGGTGAGCTACGCCTACACATCAGAAGTCTACATCTCCAAAGCGAACGTTCAGGTAAGGGGTCTGCTCGCGCTGCTTCCATCCTCCCCCCTCACACACACACACACACATACACACACACACATGCGTATTCACGGCTGTTTTTGTTTGCTGTAGGCGCTGCTGGCAGCAGCCAATCTGCTGGACGTGATGGCTGTTCGAGAGGCTTGTTGTCGCTTTATGGAGCGTCAGATGGATGAGATGAACTGTGTGGGGATTCACTGCTTTGCAGAGGCCCACTCTTGCAAGGTGCTGGAGAAGCGTAGCATGGACTACATTCTGGAGCACTTCAGCAGTGTCTGCCAGCAGGTGAGAGCTGATGGAAACGCTCTGTTTGCTTTGATGGACCCCATGTAAGGATTAAAAAAATTTTTTTTTTTGTTTTTTTAACTTTAGAGTCACTGAAGACTGTATGAATCTGTGATAGAGCTGAACTTAGCATTTATCCACAGTCATACTGGGTCTAACTTTTAAAGATTAACTTTTGTGAATAATGTGTGCAAACTGCTGTTATCCAGTTATTGCTTTCACACTTCCTCTATTTTCTTCCTCCAGGAGGAGTTCCTTTCCCTATGTGTGGACAAACTGACAGAAATCATTACCAGTGACTTACTCAATGTGCATAAAGAGGAGATGGTGTTTGAGGCTGTCATGATGTGGTTGAATAAATGTCCTTCACGCAAGCAGAGCTTTGAAAAGGTCAGACTCAAATGAGTTTACCCAAGTTGATGAAGAAGTAGGCGTGTATACCTGTTCCTCCGTTTCATTTGTTTCTGCTGTGAATATATGTTTGATCTTGAGGAGAAGACATTTAATCTAATGCACATTACGCTTTGTGGAAGAGCTCAATCCTGGGCTCAGATAATTAAAAGGTGACCTTTCTGACTTAACTGGAAGGCTGAGTCTAATCTACAAAGTAAAGCTGCTGATTTTTTAAAAAGATATGTCTTTTCTCAAAGGTGCTCGAGCATATCCGTCTGCCACTTATCAGCCCTTACTACCTCCATGATGTGATAGAGTCTTTGGATGTTGTGAGGGAGAGTCAGTGCTGCCAGATGCTCATCTCTAAGGCCAAGGACTATCTGCTGCTGAAGGACCGCCGTGGAGAGCTCTACTGCCCCAGAGCAAGGCCCCGCAGGTCCACAGGTAGGGGCAATTATGAATAAAAGGTTGTTGTGTTTTTTTTATTTTGAATGTTCAAGTGCAAATTATCCATTCTGTTAACAGTGAAACTAATCATTACATTATTCTGTAGGGAAGATGATGCACACCTACTTTTCCTATTCTGGTAGGATGCCTTTGGTTATTGATTAGCAGGCTCATTACTTTGCTAATCCTTTATTCCTGTTGCCACGGCAACAGGGACAGCTGAAGTGATAGTGACGGTTGGTGGGGAGGATGACAAGGTGGTGCTGCGCAGCGTGGAGAGCTTCGACCCTGTAACGAACCAGTGGAAGAATCTGGCGTGCCTGCCCTTTGCTGTGAGCAAACACGGACTGGTTGTTTCAGGTGAGGTCCTTTTTTAAGGGTCTAAACTTTCTCATAATTTACTGGATAACATGATGCTCCAGATTGAGCTCCATCTGAAATGAGCAGGTGAGCCCAGATGCCTTAAACGGGTTTGTTTCCATCCACCTCTCCTTGTGTCTCGACAGACTCGACTCTATATCTGGCAGGAGGCGAGTTTCCAGACGGCTCTGCCAGCAGAGAGATGTGGCGCTATGACTCCTGCTTTGACTCCTGGATGGAGATGGCTCCCATGAATGTAGCTCGCTCTGAGTTGGGTAAGGGCCTACACTGAGATCAACGTGTGGAAAAACGTAAGAGCTCAGCTTTAGGAGACACTGTGTAGTTCAAATGCATATTTTTAAGTGAGTTGCAGCATGGAAGGCCAACACTCACAGATGTAATCGCAGACACTGGTTCAAATCCCGGCTGTGCTGGACAGCGTACATGTCTAAAAGATCCTAGTTTTTGCTCTTCCACAAAGCAAATCTTTGTCAGCTTTGACTTCTGTATTTTGAAAAACAAAGTGACGAGAAAATACAAACACACACCAGTCCTCATGACACTGCCCCCAAGTGATATCAACAAGCTATTACATGTAAAGGTGCATGTGCTGAACTCCTAATGCTGTTTGAAGCAGCATGCTTCAAACAAGGTGAACCTTCCTGTCACCATAAATATTAAACCTTCATGTGAAAGTCTGTGAACTGTCTTTTCTCAAAGTTGTTATCGTTTTTTAACTGTGCAGAGATTTGAAAGGGTTATTTTTGTTTAATGTGTGGTTACAGCTGTTTCCTTTTGCCCACTGAAAGACCTTTACAAAGTCCTGCTCTGGCCTTTCCATTTCCTGAAATAGTCAGAACACTTTACGTGCTTCCTCATGCTTTGTACATTCTGTTTTGGCAGCACTTTTTATGTGATAGACAGTAGCAACAGTTCTATGATATAAATGTGGCAAAATGCATTTGCATTTTTTAATACATTAAGGAGAACTTAAAAAAACAAGGACAACATTTTTACATTGCACTTCAAGAACTCTGAGGGAATGACGATGTATACCCTGGAAGGTATGTCGTACATTCTTTTTCCAAGATAAAAAGTCAGCGCTTGTGCATAAAAAAACTGGTGAAAGTGGTACATGATACATACACGTGCTTGCCTTAATACAACTAATGTAGTATTTAGAAAATAGTCTCTGGCAGAGATGACCATGTTGTCTGTCTATATTCCTTTTTCAGGCCTAGTGATGTTGGACGGCTTTGTGTATGCTGTTGGAGGGTGGGAGGGCCGCTTTCGCCTGGATTCGGTGGAGTGCTACAACCCCCACACCAACTCCTGGCAGTCTACAGAGTCTGTAAAGATGGCTGTTACAAGTCCTGCAGTGGTGGCACTTGACGGTCTGCTCTATGTTACCGGTAAGAAACATAGTTCCTGTGCTTCCACATCTACTGGTTTACAGTCGTAGTACATTTTTCTTCAGTCGTGTGCCTTTGTGTCCTCGCAGGCGGTGCAGTTTTGGAGGACGGCGACGGCACAAACCTTGCGCAAGTTTACAACCCTAAAACCGCAGTGTGGACAGAGGTCGCACCCATGCAGATTGCTCGCTCTGGTTCAGCTGCTTGTACGCTAAAAGGAAAGATCTATGTTATAGGTAACTATTTCAGTACCACTGAGCTGCCGCCCGCGTTGGTTGCTCACAAACAGTTTGATTGATTACTTTTTACATATTCAATGTTTTTCAGGTGGTTGGCATGCTTCAACAGAGAACACAGATAAAGTGGAATGTTACAATCCCAAGACAAACCAGTGGACTATGTGCGCCCCCATGAAGGAACGACGCTACCGGCCAGGTGCTGCTGTTGTGGACGGTGAAATCTATGTCCTGGGAGGAGAAGAGGGCTGGGACAGGTGAGTGACTTTTTCTGCGTCCTTTGGTGTAAAAATAGTCTTACTTCTCTCTTGTTTTAAGCGCTTTTTTCCTAGAGGGTGAATACAGGGTTGGTGAATGCTGATCTCTGTTTATTTGCAGATATCATGACACTATTGAGAGGTACTGTGATGAAACCGATATGTGGGAGATTGTCGGGGAGATGCCCACCAGTCGCAGCTGGCTCAGCTGTGTGTCTCTTCAGCTGAGGAAGGACATCCACCTAAGCGGCAGTCCTGGCGCACTGAACGACAACTGAAGGGCAATGTCGAGGAAAAAGTTTTTATTTTTTGCACTCACCTTTGCGTCAGTGCGCTACCAAGCTCAGAGCCGTGAAGACCAGTTAGGAGAGGCCCGGAATTGGTTCAGAGCTGTGTGAGCTGTTACTGGTGACAAAGTGATTTGTTTTAGGCAGAGGAGACTAAAAGTGCAGCTCTTGCTCACTTACTTAATGCTTTTAGCACATGGTTGAGATGCCAATATTGTCTAAATGTTCTCAAGTTCCTGTGACCCATAACCAAGTCAGCAGTCTGAACTCACTCTATATGATGTGAACAATTCTAAGGTATGGTTTGGATGTCTGAGATCCTCATTCAAGGATGCCAACATAGTGTATTTTTGTATTGTTATGTGATGTATTTATTTGGCATGTGACTAAATGTCTGACTTTTGAGCCTTGTAAAGTTCTCAAGGCCACATCATCATTTTGTGAGTATACCTGTGGAAGAAGATGTACACATATGAAAATTTCTTTTTTTTTAAAGAAGTCATGTTGGCTCTGATTGTCTTTTAAACCTGTGGTATGTTGAATATATTTTTGTAAAGTGATACAAGTATTTCATTTAAATGATTTTCAATAGTTAATATGTAATAAAGATGTTAAATTCATAGACCCGTTTTATTTTTTTCTATCTTTTCAAAGTGGAACTTGAGAGTTTTTTTTGTTTGTTAATGGTAATGCAATAAATAACTTCAGTTGTTGGAGGCTATTACTAAAAAACAAAACATTTCCTGCTTTTGTTGTTTTTCTTATTTGTTGCACATCTACTTTTTCTATTTTAATGCTCTCTCTACTGTCACTATTTTCCCTGTCCCAGTTTTTTCTCTATCCTCTGCATGTATTGGTTTTAGTTTATTTCTCAAAGCTCATGTATGAGAGGTTATCGCTTTTATTCGGTTTTATGATTCAGTCAGACAAAGTCTATTGACTTGAGCATGCAGTTTTTTTTTTTTCTAACGTTGCTTTCAATGCTCGTCAGCTGCCAGCGCAGTGCATTGTGGGTAAAACGTCAGTCCGCCGCCATCTATCTCTCCGTGCCGGCTGAAGGAGAGATTCGGGAGTCATGAAAGGAATCCGGTCCCTCAACCATTTCTCTGTGAGTTCTTTGATTTCCGGGATGTGGACACGGTACCTCCTCGGGACTGAACCCAGTTCATCCAATTTAGACCCCGCTTTTAAACCGAATCACAGTTTAGCTATCACGCCTAGCATATTGGCTAGTTAGCTTCTGTGAGAAGCTAATGCTGGTTTCTGACTCTAATGCAACATTAAATGGTTTGGCTGTCGAGTTCAAACCCTTCAGACTGATTACCCTGACAAAACGAGTTTATGATGTGTGGAAATAACCCCTGGTTTACTTTTGGTCGCATATGCTGTCCTCTTTCAGTTGGATGAAACCTGAAGGTCATCCCTGAACTCCTGTATCTCATTTCTCTGATTTCTTGCTCTATCAGAGCAAATGACACCCCTACTAAAGTACAATGGGGTGACATCAGGATAACTTTCTGACACTTAATCATCAGGCTTGTTTACAGGATACATGCAGCATGTTATTGGGGACAGTCGGTTGATTTCTTCATGCCTCCTTAGAGACTTTTGATTGACTTCTTTATGATTTGAAATGCTGTCTTAAAATATAAATGGAGTGGCTTTGGCTAAAGACTGTGAGATCAGTTATCTCAGGATCCCAGGATGTCATTTTTTATACTTTAAATTACTCTCATAGAAACTCTGTCAGAGGCAGAGTCATGACTGTTTAAGTTAATTAACATTACAAAACTGAACTGTTTTAAGATCTTTATATTATGGAAAGTGCCCAAATGACTTTTTAAATAACAGGTGTTTAAAAACTGATGGTGGGTCTTGTAATGGTATCTTAAAAGCCATCATTCTGGTCTATCACTTCAAAGGTCTTTCAAACATTTTCCCGGGCCAGGCCCTGTGTAGCAACTCAAACAAATGTAGGTATTTTGATGATTGTCTGGTGACGTTAGTCTTGTGATCAGTGGAAGAGGGCTGGGAATAACTGATCTACGTGCCATGTAGTCACAACATAGCTGAGAAGATACCACCAGCTGTTATGTAACACTAGAGGTCACAGTAAGCTTCGTGGGTTTGAAATTTTTTCAAATCTAATATCAGTACTAACTTAAGCCAAATCACCAAGTATTATTGTGTGAATTATTCTAAAGTGTGCCACCTTCACAAAGTCTGCTTGTTTGATTGAGTTCAAAACTGTGGAAGTGCTCTACTTTCAGTGTTCAGTCCCAGCTAAAGTCCTGTTCCTGCTGCCCACAGAAACGCTGCTATGCTGCTGCCAGGAGAAGTCAAACTCTGATTGAACCCCTCACAGACCTGAAACCCTCCAAAGCTGCATCTCTCCCTCCACAAAATGTCCAAGTAAGAGCAAGGCCCCTGAATGTAATAGCTGTTTTGCTCTTGCCAACAAGTACCGGTGTTGGGTATATGTCTGATTTCAGGATAGTAACAACATTTTTTCTTTGCTGCTCCAGGTGTCAAAACTCCCGAACGGTCTTGTGATCGCGTCACTGGAAACCTTTTCACCCTTGTCAAGTATTGGTGTGTTTGTGAAAGCTGGAAGTCGCTATGAGACGGTGGAAAACCAGGGTGTCTCTCATGTGTTACGACTGGCATCAAATCTGGTAATTTATGAATTAGTTAGTATATGTGTGACTCCTTCACGAAATAAATAATTTCCAGTAAAATTTGGCTCTGTGTAGACTCTTCCTCTGACAAACTGGAACATGAAATTGAATTAAATTAAAAATGAACATTGATATTTACTAATTTCTCTCTCTTTCTTTTTAACAGACAACAAAAGGGTCATCTTCCTTCAAGCTCTGTCGCAGCGTGGAGGCTATGGGAGGAAGCCTGAGGTCAGAGACTGTGGCTTTTGGACATGCACAAAAATTTTACTTTTATTATTGATTTAAAGCAACAAAAGCATGCACAGTGAACCAAGCGCGCTCTCATCTGTTTACATGCAGTGTGACGGCATCAAGAGAGACCATGGCCTACACCGCAGACTGTATGAGAGACGACATGTAAGATGTGGCATCTCTTCTTTTTTCCCTTTTTTTTTTCTCATTTACTGCTATTGTTTGTTGTGCTTTATGCTCCAGATGTTTAATTTTTGTTTGTTTTTGGTAGTGATTCATTGTTGGAGTTTTTGGTCAATGTGACAACGGCTCAGGAGTTCCGGCCTTGGGAGGTAGATGACCTAACACCCAGGGTGAAGATTGACAAAGCTCTGGCTCACCAGTGTCCGCAGATAGGTGAGTAGTAGTGTTTATTTGTGTTTCTTTTAAGTGGCTATGAGGGGAGATATTATTAGTAGTTTTGTGGTTTTTGACAACAGAAAGTTGCTACAATAAATCAGTGATTATCTGTTTTTAAAGTAATCTAGTTTAAGTGTCCTCCACAGAAATTCAGGTTGCTTTTCATTCTTGTGTTTTTTTATTCTCTTTCTTACCAAGGTGTTATTGAGAAGTTGCATGAAGCAGCATACAAGAACGCTCTGTCCAACTCTCTATACTGCCCTGACTTCATGCTCGGTCGGGTCTCATCTGAACAGGTAGGTATGCGCGTGTGTTTTCCTCTAAACTGTGTGTTTTTGGAATGAACTGAGCCAATGTTTGCTCAATCTGAGATCAGTGATTAGAATACGAATGTGTGTATAAAAAACGCAGCCTTTCCAGATCATTATTTGTTAGTCAGTGTGTGACTCTTACACACTTCTTCTCCCCTGCAGTTGCAGTCGTTTGTTGAGGACAATTTCACCACTAGCAAAATGGCTCTGGTAGGACTAGGTGAGTCTCGACGGTTTTTGTCTGGTAAAGCTGCCCTCCTTCTTATCTGAATGTTTAATGTATCCATTTTCTAAATAGTTTTATATGTCCTAAGTGAAACGTTGCTCCCGCTCTGTTGTGTGGTCATTACTCGTTTTTGGATCCAGGTGTTAAGCACTCTGTCCTGAGGCAAGTGGGTGAGGGGCTCCTGAGTGTGCGCAGCGGGGCCGGAGCGCCTGTGGCTAAAGCTGTGTACCGCGGAGGTATGGCCTTCATGAAACAGTGCACTCATCAAGGTCCCCTCAAATGCATTGTCACCACATTTGTGTGTGTGTGTGTGTGTGTGTTTGTGCATGTAGGTGAGCTACGAGTGCAGAACAACGACGAGCTGGTCCACTCGTTGATTGTCAGCGAGGGTGGTGTGACCGGTAGTGCTGAGGCTAATGCCTTCAGTGTGCTGCAAAGGATCCTGGGAGCTGGGCCACACGTGAAGAGGGGCTCCAGCATCGGCAGCAAACTGAACCATGGGATCGCCAAAGCAACCACCCAGCCATTTGATGTAAGCCAGCTGCAGTTGGGCCTCTCTCCAAACAAACTTGGGTTTTATCTAAGCTCAGTCTAATAAAATGCTGAGTTACGTTTCCTTCCTCCTCTCTACCCTCTGGCTGTCTTCAGGCTACGGCCTTCAATGCCTCGTACTCGGACTCTGGCCTGTTTGGCGTCTACACCATTGCACAAGCTGATGCTGCAGGAGAGGTGAATGTTTCCTGGCTGTCACTTATCTAAAATGCGCAGAAAGCCCAGAATCTCGACACTCGGCTAATCCTCTGTGTGTTTCACTGTTCAGGTTATCAAAGCCGCCATTGCTCAAGTGAACGGTGTGGCAGAGGGCAACGTGTCGGAAGCGGACATCACCAGAGCAAAGTGAGCTGAAAGGCAGCTGTGCTGAAGCTGCAGCTCTGACCTTTCACTGGTCTGCTGCCCCTGACTGTCTGTGTTTCGTGTGCCCGTACAGGAACCAGGTGAAAGCAGAGTACCTGATGTTGGTAGAGAGCTCTGAGGGCCTGATCGAGGAGATTGGGGCTCAGGTTCTGAACACTGCAGCCTACCAGTCTCCTGACGCTGTCCTGCAGGTTATAGACGCTGTCACAAAGGATGATGTGGTCAAGGTCAGAGCTTAAAGATGAATTCTCATTGTGGCTCTGTGAGATTTTCAAAGCTGTCATTTAAGTTTAAATCATTCAGATCCACACTTTGTATTGTACTCAAACTGTTGAACACGGTGTCAGATGTAACACTTAAGTGGTTTGAGCTGTCAAACTCTCACTTTGTGTGTGCTTTTAAATGAATTTTTAGAAAGTGCGAGCAGTGGTTTGGTGTGGGTGGGCCGACAGGAGAAAAGGGAGAGAAGTTCAAGCCTGAGAGAATTGACATTGAAATCTAACATTGCAGAGCTACTGTTTTGTTTATTTGTTACGCCTCCGCTGCCTCATTTGACCTCAGATTTGTTGTCATGGCAATGTTACTGTAATGCAGTCGCCTTCTAAAAAGGCTACTTTACCACTATCCACAGCTTTTTTGTGTGTATTTTCAATTTCTCTTCATTTAGTACAAAAAATGATTGGACGACTACATTCTCCCCATATATCCCTTTAATTTTCTATTAACTTGGAACATCTTGAAATGAGTGTGGAAAGAGCATCCTCTTCCAGGATGAACGCAGCATTTAGCTGATTACGGATTGTCAGGGTCCACATTAAGCCTATTTTTTTCCAGCTCCAGTGGGTGCTCTGCCTCTTCAGCAGGTTACACAGACTTTGCCTTTTTTTGGTTCATGTCTTAATCCTTAGGTCTAAAATGGGGAGAAAAACAGCTCAGTTTAGTAAGAAGCATAGCAGCCTTTTATGCTAAGAATGCGCTTTGTGCCTTAAAAAAGGGTTGACTTACTACAGATGAGTCATGTTCTTGTGCAATGTTTGAATTGCATTTTAAATATTTGATTAAACCTGACGGCTGTAGTGATTTTCTCAGGTTATGACACATTATTGGTTCACTCATTTTCAAAACGTTATGACGGCCATAGAAATGTTCCTCTTTCTGGGTTTAAAATGCTTTATTTTTTAACTAATGTTGCTGGAATAAGTAAAAGCACTGGGCAGTGATTTAAAGAGTTCTCTTCTTCTCTCTAGGCTGCCAAAAAATTTGGGGACAGCAAGAAGACCATGGCAGCCATTGGACACCTTGTTAATACTCCTTTTGTGGATGAAGTATGAAAATAAAGAACAAGACAGCTGATTTTAACTCTGACTCTCTGTTCCGGACTGAGTTAAAAAGGAAAGAAAGAAACTCTAAATTCACATTCTCGCTCAGCAAATCATTTGATGTGACAGTCATGTTCATGTCCTGCAGTTTGTGTGAGAACATACAGGAAGCTGCAGAAGTGGAATGCTGTTTGTCTCTTGAGGTTCAATGTCAGTTAACTGTATATCTATGTAAATTAAAGTAAATGCAGTTCTCAGACTGAACTATTATATTCCAGTGTGAATGTGATCTGATGGCTAATAAACACGTGCTGCATTTACCAGCTGCCTGCACACCAACTCAAGGAGCACTGGCTTGTTTGACAAGAACACTCTGCAAACATTTATTTTTTTCTCTGACATTTTTAGCACAAAGCGGTACCGTTGCATCCGTTAACCAGCAGAAGGACCCTTAGGCAAATGTATTCACTTACATGTAAATGTTTTAAGACTGGGAATAGTGTTAAATCCATTTTTTTTTTCAGTCCAGTTTTTGTGAGGCCCAATCAAGATGTATTATTTCAGAAGTAGCTGTAATCTGCACCATGTACATAAAGAATCAGAATAAAAAGTCAAGTTTCAGTGTATTAGTTTCCTTTTATAATAGTGGAATATTACCAGTTCATAGGGTATCAGTTCAGGCTCGCACCTATTTGGAAAAGCTGATCAGGGATTCTGCGTCTTGTTACTGCTCACCCACGGTCCCATCCTCAGGCTCAGGATCCGTTGTTTTGCTGGCGACACTCGGATACAACTGAATTTGTGATAAATCTATTAGAATACCGTCCAGGGTGTATCCTGCCTCTCGCCCATTTAACACAAGGATAGGCTCCAGTAATTCCCATTTGGGAATAAGCGGTTCAGAAAATGGATGGGTGGATCTTTTAAAATTCTTCTAAACAGCTTTTGGGCTGTGTAACAGATTATGGCTAAAATACAAAACAAGCGTTTGAGGATATGTGGATTCTCTGCTTGCTTAGCTTGGGATTCCATGAGTATTAAGGGAATTAACTTAAACTTGCATTGTTACTTGTCCCATTTTCCTTGTGGTGGGTGTACTGTGTACAGAGTGAACCCTGATACTCTACAATGCTGCAGGGGAAGCATCTGGCCTCCACATAACCCTCAACCAGATCAAACACTTATGGGAAACACGTTTAAAGAAAAAAAATGTTATGGCCCTAGATGAGTGACTTTCTGATTTATTTGTGTGTTTTAAATGTTCTCTGTTGTGCATTTGTATCTTTAGTTTATTTAGTAGAACGTGTCCTTTTTTGCTTTTGATATGCTGTTGTCTTGTGAGGTGATTCTTTTCTCTAAATCACACTGTTGCTGCGGAGCTGAGCTCTTAGTTGTTTCATTTTATTTTTCTAAAATGTCGAGTTGGGCAAAGCCTGTGTTGTTAAAAGTTTCCAGTCGACTCCGGACCCGCAGGACGGGACGACCCTCGTTGTTGCAGAGTATCGCGAGGAGAAAGTCCCCCTCCTCCCCCGTTATTTAGCGTGAACGTACTGCGCTCCGTGTGTTCAGTGTGTGTGTGTGTGTGTGAGTGTGTGTGTGTTTGAGGCTGCGTGGGGGTGTCCGTCTGATGTCATTTGGCTGACGGGGAGGCTGAGCTAGCGGCGGGCACACACACGGGTGGGAAGCACAACAATACCGTTACCATTTTGCAGTCCGGGCTGGGACACTCCGTGGGTTTTTTTTTTTAATCTGTTTGGGCTGAAATACGCTGCTTTTTTTCCCAAACAGCGTCACGGTGGTCCGGAGCTGGAGAAAAAAAGGAGAGCGGAGCTGGCTGGCTGCGGGTGGACTGGGAGGACCAGATGCTATTCCAGCGGAGAAGGAGAACGGGCTCGTATAAGCAAAAGAGGGTGATGGGTTCTCGCTTTCCCGACGGGTAACGTTTAAAGCCTCTCACTAAAAAAAGGAACACCAAGAAAAAAGGGACACTGTAAGGCGGGCGGAAGTGGCTCTGGACCTCCGTCGGTGGGACTTTGTGTGTGAAATGCTAACGCTGCCGCGGTGTCGGCCGTCGAGCAGCCTCTGGGCCGCAGCCCGGCGCCCCGGTCCCCAGTCCGGGGAGTAGCTAGCTAGCTAGCCGCCTGCTAGCTGCAGCCGCGTCCGATGCTGCCGCCAACCGCGGCGGATGCTGCTGCTGCTGCTGCCGCTAACCGGCTCCGAGAGGCAACGCCACCAGTCCACGGCTCTCTCCACTGACCGTTGCTATTGTTTGACCGCCCCGGGCTACAGGCAGGCGCTAGAGATGTGATGCTTTTGTGCGTCACGGTTGAGCTTTTCGGAGCTGGACGCTCACGCTCGCTTGACGTGAAGGGGCTAACGTTGCTGCAAAATGCTCCGCGGGATCACCACGACAGGCTCCTGCTGAAGGGGGCGAGGTTAGACTGATAACAGCCCTCTCCCTCCCCAGCACCCGGGGTCCGATTTTGGAACAACGATCCACCGCATTTCCAACACCCCCCCCCCCCCCCTCTAACCCTCCCCAGCCCCCCCACCAAGTCCTCCACCGCTTCATCAGCTGCCCAGATGGATAAACTCACGATCATCTCGGGGTGCCTGTTTCTGGCTGCAGATATCTTTGCAATAGCCAGCATCGCCAACCCGGACTGGATCAACACCGGGGAATCAGCAGGTAAACGGAACAGGTCCCCCAGAAGTTGACCCGCTCTCAGTGTTCGGACAGTGTGCTGGACACAGGGAAGGGTCCCACTGTGGGCAGGGTGAGGTCCGCAGCGGCGTCTTTTGTCCCCCCCCACAGCGGCATTTGGGGTTTTTGTGGAAACCATAAATGCTGGAAATAAGCGTTTCCAGCTCCACGACCCAAAGAGCTGCTTCATATATGTACTGCACAGGCCTGTTACTCACCATTATTATCACCGTTTACAGTCAGATTATAAGTCAGAAACTGTCTGAAAATAGGGATTGTTACTGTAATTGCAGCCCCCATGAAACAAAAACTGTTACTCAGTTTCCAGGCGCACTAGATCTGTAGCCTTGGAAGTGTTTTCTCTCTAATTTTTAGTGAAACCAGCTAGCCTATCAACTCTAGCACGATTATGATAAGGGAAGGCATGAATATCCAAATAAAGTTAATTTGCCATCTTGTAACTGCAAACTAAATGGCTTAATGGTGCTTTGAGTAATGTTTGAACATTACCAATATTATTTTGGGAGGTTGTTGTCAGATGGGTGAGATATTTCCAGACAAACAGACGATTAAAGGAGCAACAACGGGCTGATCTGTTGTCAATAGATCTTCATTTGCACTCTGTTACCTGTTCAGTGAATAATTGATCCAGAGAGTCGCTCAGGCACTGACGGGTAATAGGTTCTCTTCATTTAGATGAGTTGACATTTGATTAAGCCTCATTGTGATGGGTCTAGTCAGTCAGTGAGCACATGAGAAATCAAAGCAGGTGTTTATTTGTGCTGAAGTTGAAGCACGTGCTCCTGGTCTTCTGTCATTTGACTCAGCTCCGAATATACTTTCCGGCTATTGATAGACAGCTGCTACTCTTTGTTCCCTTTACACAATGACAGCTTAGTAAGTGGGTCAGTGAGGGTTCATCATCCACCAGACTGTATTAGCTCAACAGCATGAGTAATCCCTGAAAAAGCAATGATAAGTTGTAGATATGTTGGGGACATTCTTTACAGTGCTGCAGATGATTGGTTGTGCCGCAAAACACATTTTGTGGCTAGCTCTTCTGATCCTGTACCAAAAGTTGCACCTTTGTTGTTGTTTTTTAACTGCTTTGTTGTGGTTTGAGTGGGCCTTTTTCATAGAGGGGAAGTTGTGTAGCAACACTTTGCCTCACAGGCTTTTGGTTGACTATTGTCTGTTTCGTCTTTAACCCTTTAAAGCCCGATCCGAGAAAACATAGAGGGAATTTTTTTTTTTTGTTTGACGTCTCCATTGACACAAAAAATTATTTAATAGCATTTTTTTCAGGAATGTACCGATTTCAGGAATTCTGGACTTTGTTGTGTATTTGTGACATTTCAAAGGAAGATAACCCCGATCTGCTGACCTCTGGTCCCCAGCTTTGTCGCTGTCTTTGGCCTCGTTGCTTGTTGTAGGACATTAGCATGACGTCTTTGTACTCAGAGCATCGAGTTACCTTCGATTAAAGCTGACTTTGCGTGAAGAGTGCAAGGCTTTTATATCCCTCCTTGTTTTGATCTGTGTTCTCCTCTGACTAATGACGAGTACGTTTGCCAACAGGAGCACTCTGAACCACAGATTGATTTTTCTTGTAGTGGTTCCTACCATTGTTGTGTTCCATTCACATAAAACAGTGCTCTGAAAAATCTATGTAGGGCTGTCACGCAAGACTACAGAATGTAGACTTTGACTGGCTGTGCAGAGCTTGGAGGCAGAGCTGTTGTTGTAGCAGCGTCAGGACACAAACTGTCAACAACTGCCACCCGCCACGATTGTGTCCTCCCAGTGAAAGCCATTATCTTGGGCCCAAATGACCTTTGAAATACTACGTAGGCTCAGAAAGATCAAAATTAAATGAATGAATGAAATTGAGGCTGGATTTCAGAAGATGGCTGCATTCAAGGCCTGTGTTGACTGATTGTATAACAACATTACTCTGTGACTTCAGCAATGAAAAGACTTAATGTTGTCAAATTTGAAAAGTTTTCCGTCTGTAGAGCTTGTCAATGCTTTCAATGACAGCAGGGCTATTCTGAAATGAGTGTTTTTCTTTTCTTTTTTTCTCTTTGGATACTGAATGGGAGCTAAATATATTGGATAAAGGCTACCATTGATGAAGATCACAAGGAAATGGCTGTGACTTAAGAGGGCTCTTTCAGCTATGCAGTTATATCATCTCTATCTTCATACGCCAACATTACTGACTGTTCATCACTTCTGCACAAGAAATGTTCACAAGAAAGATGCTCATTACCTAAAAGTGTTTGCTATTCCCTTAATTATATCAGAGTTTTGTCTTCCTCCTGCGCATTGTAGGACCTTCGTCAACCTCAAAAACCTCTGAGTTTTGATTGATTCATTCATTCGTCTTCAAAATATCTGTATATCCGGAAAGATTGTGTAAAGCCAGTTATCTTGAAAATAGAACTCTATGGAGCATGACTAAATCCACAAGTGATGAAATGACTAACAAACATACTAAACAGACATCTGAGGGGAAGTAAGTGCCCAGTAACTGGTTCTGTCAGCATGTTCTGAAACAGACATTACCTAAAATAGATGAAATGGGACACTATTAAATTGTGTTATTTTGAGTATCCCTTTTCAAAAGCACAAGGGCACACAGTGTCATTAAACACAGAGCAACTGAAACCAGGCCAGCCTTATCATTCAGTTACAGGGCTGCTGGTCTAACCTGCAGCTTGCTCAAAACTCAAAAAAGGAGATATGGCACCTTTTACCACCGTCTCACACACACACACACACAGACACACACACACAAGGTCGACATGCAGAATGGTTAAATGTACAGCTCCATTTAGCTTAATCTAAAATCCTGCTCATATGATATTGTGAAGCTTATTACATATGTAAACATGTGTAATGTGTAGAGAATAAAACTCTCTTTTTCTTTTCTTTAAAAAAAAAAATCCAAACTGCAGCATTTGATGTGGCAGCCAGTGTATGTAAGTTCCTGGCATGCAGTATGACCATCCCAGCTCTCTGTATACAGAATAATTTGTTCTTCACCTAAATAACTCGTTTAAATCTCATTTACACTCATTGAAAGTCTGTTAACTAAGTTTTACTTTTAATCTCAGATTTTTGTCAGACATTCTGTGGGTTTATAGTGGCTAATAATCGGACTAAATTGACATTTAGGAGAAATCTCGATTAGCTTTTTAGTCTCGGGGGTCTTAGCTTAATGAATTTTTGTTTACATACATACTTCTGCTGGTAGCCCGTCCTAAATGGATTTGCCAGCTTTGTTTTCTATGCAGGTTTTGGCCTTGCAAACTGCCCCCGTAGTAAAAGTGAGCGCTCTAAAAGCCTCCAGCTGCAGAAGAAGCCGCTGACGCCCACCACAGTTCAGAGGCCATTTTGACTCATCCCTCCTGAGCCTCCAAACATCAGCACCCCCTGCGCCTCGCTAATGACGGCATAATCGGGCCGCAGCTGAGCAGACATGGCGCTCATTTCCCCTCATTTGGACCGACACATGGTGAGAGGAGTGTTTTGATCATGGCGAGTGCAGAGCTGGCTGCAGGGTACCAGGGGTCGATGAGGGCGTGAAAAAGAGCTGGGCCTCCAAATGGAGAATTGGCCCATTATTTTCTCTAAAGCGAGCGACGGGGGAACCGTGCTTGAGTTTATCTGTTAACGAGACACAATGTATTTTAGCTGTCCCTGTTTTCAACACGTTTACACTCTGATTATTTTTTCTAAGATTAAAATTCTTCAAGTTTTCTCCGGTGGATGTACTTAATACTTAGTGGGGCTGGATGACGTCCACACTTTTTAAATGCATACAGGTGTGCGTTTGTGTGTGTATACGTTTATATGTAAACGTGTGTATCTAAATATCTTCAGGTGGTGTGAGATCAGTGATAGTGTTCGTACCCTTCTGATCGGGTGTGTTGCTTTTGGCTGTACAGCCATGGCAGCGTGAACTCGTCCCGCTCCTCACCTGAAGCACATGCTCGCCCCAAAACCAAACATCTTGTGTTATTACAATATAGTGTACATTTTTAAAAACAGAAGTTGTTTATTTTTCGTTTACAATCTTACTTTTTGCACAGCTGTGTAGGAGCGAAGAATTGAATTTTTAGATATGACTTTAGGTGTGACTTCCAAATCCTTTTGTCAGTATTTAAAAAAAAAAAAAAAGTATTTGTATTTTTTTAAGCCGAATATTACTCTTTCCTATGTTTGTTTACACAAGAACATCACCTGCATTTCTCCCCAGCGATGGCAAAAATTAGCAGCACTGCCATTAAACGAGCAGGGATTCTTCACATAGTCTAAAGTGAACTTTAAAATACTGAGACAGCTTTGTTGTCATTTTCGGTCGTGCTGCCTTTGTTGTCTAGTGTGCTCTCTGTTCCACACGTCACAGTGAAATGGGAGCTGTGACATCCCTTTCTGCCTGGAAGTGTCTCCTGCAGACTCGTCTCTTCAGATCACAGCTCCTCTCCTCACACCGTTAACACCGTCTGCTTTACACCTCGGTCCCAGTTGTAATTGTAAGATGTCTTTTACCACCAGGGTTTGAATGCTGATGTTAAGCCACTTTGAATAAAAGTGTCTGTTAATTAAATTGATGACGAAATGTCTCCAGACGCAGCATGAATGACAATTTGTGATCACATCTTTTCACCTGCTCTGTGTGCAGACTTTGGCTACAGGGCATCAGTTTTAGATAGGATAATGTCGTCTCTACAACCTACTCTGTCCACAAATAATGACCAAAAAATGGATCTGCTCAAGTAAAACTAACATTTGTGTTTTGAAGGATTGTTAAATCTAAACAGATTCCATGTGTGAGAGAGCTGAGGCACGCGAAAAACATCATTTATTCATGATGCTGGAGCGCTCTTTGCGACTGTACATCTGCTGGAAAATGAGGGTTTGCGTGTCTCATTCGTTTTCAACCTGGACTCCAGCTCTGAGTCTGTAAATGTGCATAAAAGCCTGCTCATTGTAAAACTAAATTTACTGCCTGTAAGACATCCATAGCCTTTATACAATGTGCAAAAACATACCCCCTCCCTTTTCTTGCTGACGCATCACGCTAAGACTTGCTGTGTTACATGAAAAGACCTATTTTGCCCACCAAAAAACCAGCAAAGCAGCATAAACTCCAAGCTGTTGGATTCCCAGCTGTTGTGCTGTGCAAACCTGGTGCAGTTTTTAGTGATACCTGGCGTGTTTCAACTCCTTCTGTTACACCAAGAACAAGAATTGAGTTTGTCCTTTGATTTGGCCGAGGACATCTTCATATTCACAGGGCTGCAAAAATGTGGCTCCGATTACCACGTGTGTCCATATGTGGGGTGTCGCTACATCCCTCTGTGTTTGCAAAGTCCTGACATGTTCACAAAATTTGTGAAGACCCAGAGTAGTTAGTAGTTAGTTAGTCTTATCAGGCCAGAAGGAGATGACATTCCTCCTTAGCTCCCAGACTTTTACCAAAATTAATTAAAAGAATTGCTAGCGCTACAAAGAGGTAAACGTGGCCCTTTTCCTCCTTTTGCTGCCCTCAAATTTGCAAAATTCTCTTGGTAATTGTGTCAAGATTCTGTACAGTTGACAGTAGTTATTCTGGAGTCCAGGATACAATGCTAACGGGAACAAGCATCGCAAACCCTTTGCTTTCTGCTGATTATCACAGAGGGTTTTTCCAACCCTTTCTACTCACTGAATTGTTTACCTGTGTCCATGTAACATAGCGTGCCTGCCTGCTGTATGGCAGGAATTTCTCAGAGAGCCAGTAAAACAGCAGGAGGCCTGAGGATCCTGGGGAAATGGCCTTAAACTGGTGCTATTAACCGCAGCTATCAAGCCCTGTTTTTCCAAATGTTTCCAGCAGCAGTCCCGGCCCGCTCTGCCTCATCCACCTCGCAGTGTTTAATATGTTCAAAGTTACTCTGCAATACATGGGTGACTTCAGCAATAAGCTGAGTGAGCTGTGAGCTTTTCCTCAGCCAGTTTTGATATGAGCCATGACATCCACTTTTTTCCCTTTTCAGAGTTCTTGCAAATGCGTTGTGCACAGTTGGATCTGCATTGGCACGGTGGTAACAGATCAAATTGAAAGCAGAAAGAATCCCTATGAATTTCCCTCTGTTCTAAATTCGACGGTATTTCTGTGAGACTGCAGACCACCAGTTTGCTTCTGCCGTGTCTTATCTAGAAGCCATTTCTCTTACAACCTCTGTTGTCTTTTGTGTGAGCTGGGAGAGTTGTGTTTGGTTGCTTCAATAAAGGTACTGCTTTCCTTGGGTGTTACAATAAGGGGACAGGATTTCCTCTGGAAGGCCTGAACAAGCCTCCACGCCCAAAGGCCCAAAACGAACCCTTGTGTCACAAAAGGTTCAAGTGCTTCCACATCCCACTCAGTGGACACAAAGGTTGCAACTAGGGAGTTATAACGTGGCTAGATCTGGATGCCAGGCAGGCCTCATCACCCTCTTGACCCTATAAAATTCCGTCCCCCCTTCACCTCCACCCACTTTCAGAGCTTTCAGAGCTGCCATTTAACTTTTGCGATGTAATGCACAAAGACTCTTTGTGTTGTTTTGATCTTTACTGCTCATTAAATGGTTAATTGTAGTCACACTTTAGTGATCTATGTGGCACGATTCAGCCGTGCAGAGAAAGTTAAGATGTTCACCCCAGATGTCTGCGGTGGAATAGGATCATTAAACTGCACAGAATCTTGAATGAATGTGATTTTTTTTTTGTTATGTTTTTATTTTATGTAACATTTGCTTTCGAACCAATTTCTTATCAAAAGATTTGAGAGAAAGAAATATTTTCTTTCAGCTGTGGGGGTGTGTTATGGCTAACATTAGGTGACCTATTTGGATTCTTTTAGTGATATTTGTTCCTAGAGAAGAAACTGCAGAAATGTTTTCCATCGTAGACATGTTGTTTTATAAATCTGGTAAAGGCTTAGGAAAAAATAAACACGTGAAGTAGCTCTGAGTCATTTTGGTGCACAAACTAATAGTGAGCTGTTGATACATGCTGTGTGTTTCTGTGTTATTCACCAAGGAAAAAGAAAATCCATTTTTATATCCAAGTGAAGTTGTATCTGATGTGGCTGTCGTCATACGGCCGTGCCCAGCCGTGTCCATATTGTAATCATCTAGTTAATCTCCCAGACAAACCCCTCACATCCACGTCTGGGCCTCAGTCTTACTCCGGCGATTTGTGTTTCGAATGAGCACTTTCTGTTGCTGCAGTATCCTCCAGTGAGTCCTCTTTTAATTTACAGAGACCCATGATCAGCAGAGCACTGAGCAATTTAACTCCATTCTGCTTACTCAGGTAGAAAATCCCTGGAGGATACAGTCTGATTGAATGGCATGTTTCCAGAGAGGCTGTGCTGCAGGGCCACAGCCCAGCTCCAAGCACCGACCTTCACACTCTGGCAGAGCTTCGCCCGTGATTCAGTTTAATACACAAATTCATTTGTCTCCCAGCTTGATTAATGCCGGATATGTACACTTAAACAGCAAGTCTTGTTTCCACTTGTGGCGGACGTGCACTTGGGCTCTCCTTGATCTCCAGAGAACAGCAACAGAGCACTTAGAATAGAGGACACAGAAGGTGGATTATTATAGTTTGGGCTAGTACGGACAGCTTGTACATTTGCAGAAATATTGAGGCTTTTAAAGAAGCAGCAGCAGCTCTTTTCAATGTCATGGTGTCACGTCTGCGTGGGATGCATTCAGCAACTAGCAGGATTGATTTTATCCTCACAAGTGTGAAAATGAAAGTGAGGGAAATATATGATGGCCACTATCATAATTGGACTCACAGGTAACCACTATTGAACTGGTGACACTTTGAAGGAGCTTCTATTCCCCCTTCCCCATCGGTTGTACTTCACACTTTCTCCGTCTCACTCTGTTGTCTGCTTGTCTTTCCCCATTCTGACACCTGCTCAAGTCATTAATGTCTTATCTATTTATTTGTAATATGCTTTCTGTGCGACTCTGAGTAATGGAGTAACCTCTAGTATTTCATTCTAGGTAATGTTTTCCATGATCAATAAAACAAATGCAAATGAGTCCAAGCGGAGGTTTAAATTTGCCATCATACCTCAGCATTTTAGTAAGGAAACAAGAAAAAAAGTGTGCCTTTTGCATAATATTTGTTGTAAACTACTAGACATCAGCATATTATGAGTCACTGGCAGAACAGAGCAGACTTCTAATCGATACCCGCCTCTCATGTATAATGAGTTATATAATTACTTATTATCAGCCAGATTCTGAGCAAACAAGGCGCACTTTTCGCATTAAGCCGTTCATCCCAGTGCTCTTCAGCTGGATTGTGAAACCCACGCCAAAGAGTGTGGGGATGGATGCGTCCAGTGAAATACCTTTTTAAGATTGGACATAGCAGCATGCTAGCTCCAAGGTGCCCGACCAAGCTCAGAAATCTGGTTCTCACTAGCTGGAGAAGAGAAAAATCCTTGGCAGCCAATCCTGCAACATTTGGCAGCAAAAAGTTATTTTTTCCCTCCTCCAAGTGCAAATGTGTTACATGGCTCCTCATTTGTGTAACTTTTCCTAAATATTTGCGTTCAGCTTTTTCAGAGCCAAAGGGCTATCTTACACTACATTCTGATGCAGAATCTGCTAGTCGGATTTCACAGTTTCACCTTGAGCTGCTTGGTATTTGCTTTGTGTTCCTTTCTTTTCATTGACTGTGGGTAATTCATGAACAACCTATCCATTATGCATCCTGTGTGTTTGTGAACAGTTTCTTCAAGACTGGCAGCATACGACCGTCAGCATGTTGGTCTTTGTGGAGGAGGAAGTAGCCATGTCTGACCCAGTGAATGTGCTGAGTGGCATTCAACAGCTGATTGGACAAAAGCGTGCCTCTATGAGTGCCTGTACACAAAATCATTTTCGAGAGCGCTGATGAGAGGGGGTAAATCTAGCCAACGAGGCCATAATGTCTTGAGAAAACATCTATTGAGTAGACTGAGCATAGCAATTCGATAAGGAGGCTGATGTCTTCTAAATGAGGTCCTGTTGGAGCCAGAGATGTTTTAGAGCCGGCGGCTGGCTGCTGTCAGCGGTGGCACTTAGAGGCACGCATCGTCCGACGGCAAAAAGCGCAGTAACTCGTCTGATCAGTCTGTGCTGAACCAAACACTCACGAGTCAGAGATTTCACTTATGTGTCGTCACAGTTATGAGAATGTTCTTTTATTTCCCAAATGGTTTGAACATTTGTGTGTTTTTAAAGTGGTGGTGCAGTGTCTGCCCTTCCCATATCTCTTTGTTAAGATAAATAAGTTTGTTAGACCCTGAAATAGATCAATGGACACCCCTCAGCGGCTCTTCTTTTATCTGCTGTGTGTCTGATGAATTGGAGCAGAATGGATGTCTCATTAGCTTCCTCTTCTATTTCCAGGTGCTCTCACAGTTGGTCTAGTCCGACAGTGTCAGACCATCCACGGGCGAGACCGGACGTGCATCCCACCACGGCTTCCCCCCGAGTGGGTGACCACACTTTTCTTCATCATCATGGGCATCATATCCCTCACAGTCACTTGTGGACTGCTGGTGGCGTCACACTGGCGCCGAGAAGCCACCAAATACGCACGCTGGATCGCCTTCACCGGCAGTAAGTGAACAAGACGGTGACACTCAGGCTGAATGATACAATTGTGCTCACTAGACTTGTCATCGGCACATTTAGCTCTGAGCTTTCTCATATTTCTCTCTGTCTCCCTCTCTGTCCTGACGTTACTTCCCCAGTATTACGTTTCTACTGCAGGAGAGAGCGACATAGGGCTTTGGTGAAATCGGGGTAAATGGGTTTTATCCCCGTTAGGCTGTTCATTTCAAAGTGTGACTACAATAGCATCCATGTCTTAATTCAGGAGTACATGTGTTTTGTTACATTAGCTCATTTGTGAACATTTCTGTGCATGTATTCTTCTATGCTTTCTGACTCCTGACGCTCGCTAAGCTGATTTATTGAGTAATGCAGCATGTCTGCTACTGGAGTGGGCGGCTTATGTGCCGCAGCATTTCTGAAGTGATTTATCTCCTTTTTCTGCCTCAAACGTCCCAGCTCTGCTTAATTTTTTTTTTCTGTCTTTCTCAATTCAAGATTTCATCGTAGATGCATTTTTAGCTGTTAATAACAACTTCTTCCAGTCTCACTCAGAGAGCCTGGGCTGGTTTCATAAGGCTGAATGGGACTGGTCATTGGAGTGGGATTGGTCAGTTTGTTGAGGGACGCGTCAGCCCCCGGGACCCTCGTACAGATGGAGCGGTGGCATGTGAAGCCACAATGGCTTGTGTTATTGTTTGAAAGCGCTGACATGGCGAGCACAGGGTGATTTAAAATATAAATATTTCCTTGTCTTGACTGAATCAAATTGACTGTTTTCATGGTGTTTCCTAATGGCAGGAAAATACCTGATGAATCACCACTTTACAGAAACCCAAAGCTCTTTACAAACTGTACGGTACGCACAGATCTGTGTCACAGGCTGAACTAGAAGCTGTTGATTTGTTGTTTAATGATCACACTCAGAGGAGGGGAAGGGGGTTGCCATGACAACAGAGAGCAATTGTCACCCTTGTCCCTTTTGTTAAGCGTCTAATGGACATGTCTGCTAAAATGTATGTTTATAGTTCAATTTATTTTTTCTTCTAAAGGTTAAGAGACGAAGGTGATTACCGCCCAGGAAATAAATGTAGACTTAAGGACTGATTGTATCTACAAATTTAAACTGATATCCAGCATCTCTAGAGATTTGTTGGAACAAATTTTATTTTCAAACAGACGAAAGTAATGTAGACGCATCTGCCCTCATTCTGTTATTACCAAATAACCTGATTTAGATTTTATTTGAATGGTCATTATATTGTGAATTTACACATCTCAGAAGCATCTCTTTCCAAAAGCTAATTTAAAATAATCTCAAAACCACATTTTGTGTAGTTTGCGAGTAACAGTAAATAGTATATATTTGACACCTCAGAATTTCTATGCAAATCTGAAGTTTTACACCTAACATCGAGGTTAGGTAATGACCTAATGGTCAGCTTTTATATCTACAGGTTTTATGCTGCCAAATTTCCAAAATTATTTTCAGGAGAAGAGGGACAAAAAGTCTAACAAGCCTCTCAGATGTTGCAGAATCTTTGCTCTGGTGACTACCATCTTCATATGGGTCAGAGCACCAAATAGTTGAGTGAGAAATGAAAGGGGACTTCTGAAGAGTAGAGTAAAAAAAAAAAGTAAGCTAAGTGAATAATTATGTTTGTGGAGTCAGATGTTGGGGGTGTCGGAACATAAGGGATGCCAAAGTAGTGACACAGATGGAAAGGAGACATGGGGGGCATGAGGGTGGTGGCAGAGAGACGGGAGCTGTTTGATGCAGGGCACACAGGTGATGAAGTCTGAGAGGAGGTGGGCAGTCTGCTGTGTAACTAGCTCCAGTCATCGGCTGTTGAATGGGCAGCTTTGTAGGACTGGCACAGACCCACCTCTGTTGCTTTTAATACACACACCAGCTGTGTTTCCCAAAGTGTAAGGGTCACCTGTAGGAGCTGATTGGGACTGAAGTCATAATAACTTCTGTCAATTAAAAACAGGATTTACAGAGCCTGTGTTACCCACAAAGAGAGACATAAAGTAAAGATAAAATGCACTCCCCCCCCCAGACAGCAATTAATACCTTCAAAACCATTTTTATTAGCCATAAAGTCAACACTGAACAGAAAAGTAACACTTCCGATAACACACAAGCTCTATTATATCCACGGATTGAAAATGATCTTGCTTTCTACCCATGGAGTTTCTCTTGGTAATGCCAAGTGGATTTCAGCTGTAGTGCCAGTGGTAAGACAGCATTGGTTAAGTTGCTAGGTGTTCTTCCTCAGCACATGAGCTGCTTACCATGTGTCATCACTTTAGGCTTTTTTGAGGCGCAGTGAACCACATAAAGTGCTCTTGAATTAACTCTGGAGATGCTTGCAGGTGTAGTTGTCACTGTTAATTTATTTTCACTTAAGGAGAAATCTGTTCAGTAAGTACTGGTATGCTCCTTAGACCAGACAGGGACTTTACTTTAGAGCAAAACGGACAATATATCCAGTGACACCAGATTAATGTCAAAGCAGCTTTATTATAATAATATAATAAGAAATGTCTCGCTTGGTTAATCCTGCTCAGGTGAAATGTAAAAGTGGTTGTGCGTTATGTGTGTATTTTTAGTTTCAACCTTTTTAACCCACAAGGAAACATTTTATGTCATAAAACTTCTTTTGATCGAACGCTACTTACTCATTTAGATTTTTTTAAACTGGCAAATGTCACCCAAAAGACCAACATCTTTACAATATTACTAAAAAGAACTGCTCTAAATGGCTTCACATGCAGCCCCAAACTCAGCTCCACACAGCTGTCGCTTCATTTCTTTGCTCAAAGCACAAACTGTTCCTAACAGCATGGTTATTAAGAATGGATGGAACAAACACACAGGTAACAGGAAAAATGCCCCCCCGCAGCTGTTTGGATGCATTTTCCACCTGCACGGATGTGTAGATGTTGCCACACAGAGTGTGGAATAGAACTTGCTCTGTGTGAGTGGAAGCAATGAAAAGCCCCTTGATTTGTCAGCCGGTGCTATTTTTAATCGCACAGGGCCAGTCCTCAAAGTCTGCCCTGCTATTGATCTGTAAATACCGATGACTCGTTCCCTTTGCTGTTCGGCGTGTTGGTGTGTTGCAGGGGGAGCCTCAGATGGAGTTCTAGCATCAGCTCTATCGTCATCAAAGGAAAAGGAGGGAAATATACTCGTTCAGATCAGAGCCACTCTGGTTATTCAGTCACAGGCACCTAGTTTATAAATAGTTTAATGGAACTCCACAGTGACTTCATTTCTGACCCTGCTTTTCTCCACTGCTGCTAATTCACCTCACAGTCGCCAAGCGGAGCGCCGCGACATCCTCAGTTTTATTACTGAGGAAGCCTATGAATTAATGATTTTCCCCATGTGATCAACACACCCAGCTAATTGATCCCACTGGGATTGATGCTTAGTTCAGGGCTCCCTGATGTGCTTTTTTCACTTGTGGCAGCAGATTATTGGGGAAGTGGAGAGCACATCAGTTTGTGTTGTGGTGACCTGACTTCTGTAATACCGCTGACCTCATGGGGAATTAAACAAACAGACATCAAGACCCCCGAAATTCGAAGCACAATGGCACCGAAATTTCAAACACAAATGATGGTGTTTGAGTTGGATCATAGCTAATGCAATATATCATGTCTTCACAAGACAGAAGAATGTGTGAAATTAATTAAAAAGCATAATTGGTTTTTCTGCTCAATGCTTTTAAAAAACACTTAGCAGAGGAATACCGGTGTGGATATGGCATTACCCTAATCTCATAATCCCACCATGAAAAGCAGGCTTCCTTCAAGTGTTTCTGCTTCAGTGAGACAGTTGTTCTGGAGCCGATGCTCATGTTGTAGTGCAGACATCTCCAACACGTTATTTGTCGCGTCTTAAAGTCTTAACAGGCACGATGGCTGGACTCGGTCAGTGTTTGCTCAGGGTTCACTGGTGTGTTGCTTCCCACATCATTACTGTCACCAAAGCCTTCCTTCATTAAAATCACTGAACTGAATCTTTCTGCTCAGACACAGCTGAAACCAACACAGCCCGAAAGCTCGTGTGGATGACGCGATGCATGCGTCTGCGGAAACGAAGGTTCTCTGACGAGAGCTAGACGCCGCTTTGCTCCTTTAAGGGCGTGCATATACCGTGTCAGTCAGACAGAATGAGCACGGGTATGGTTTGTACAGGAACTTTTATTTAAACTAACTCTCCATCCATGAATCTGACCGATAGTCTAAATTATCTTTCATTCAAGGTTAGGAGTTGATGATCAGATTTGATTATGAAGGATGCACAAAGACATTTGAATGTGCAGCAGAAAACGTGTGGGTGATGGAGAATGGTCGGCACACAGAGGATTGTCTGATTTAGACCGCTGTGGAAGTTTGTCCTTGGAAAAAGTTCTTTCATACAAGTGAACCTGCTGCATTCCGGAAAATCTGAGCTGTGCTTTGCCAGGTGTTGGGAGCTGAGCTGCACACCTTCAGTCAACAGACAACTTTGTACACTATTTATGTGTTTGCATGCATAGACAAAGGCAGTTTTCCAGTTTTTGGGTAGGGCTAGGTATTTTAATTCAAACTGAGCTCTCACAACACATTGACATGCATAGAAATATATTTGATGGTACACATACTTTTCAAATAAAACATGTCAAATCAGTCCAAAACGCAGCTTTTTCTGTGTTTGTACTTTGAAGTAACTCACATAAACCTTTTGAGCCAGTGCAGCCTTGAATTGTGAAGGCTGACGTTGTGAACAACATGTCTGCATCGTCCACGAATTATTTGATTGACTAACCAGTAGGAAATGTGGTAAATGTGTAACTCTGTCAAATCAAGGTGATTTTTATTCTATGGCTCGAATACATTGACGATTACCAGCAAATGAGGACCAAGCATAAAACAGAGACATATAATGCAGGTATTATTTAGTTGGCTATACGTGTAGGTTGCCATGGCAACACAATATCGTCCACATGCTGCTGCTCAGCTTCATTCAGAGGCATTACATACACACATCTTAGTGGTTGAGTCTTCACCAGTGCCTCACAACCTTCAGATTTGTATTCAACTTTTAACTGTTGGATCTAATTGTTAAGTCACCTAACTCCTTCCCACCATCTGCAGCTCTCATTTGTCACACAGGCCTGTGGTGCAGCGCTACTCGCTCCATGTGTCATCATGTGGTTTTTAAGTGTTCCCAAAAGATGCTTAAGCTTAAAGAAAACTCCAGCTTCTGCTCTTACGGACATATTTTACATATTCTGGCTGGATTTATTTGAAATAAACACACAGTGAAAATGAGCGATGACTTAATAAGACACCATCTTTATTCAACAACCACATGAATGCCACCCATTACCACCTGCTCCCTGTACTCATAAAAGACTGTACAGGGTCACTCCAAGTAATACACTATGTAACTGTTTCTTCAGAACGATTTGCATAGGCTCTTTTCGGTCTCAGTAATAAGCCAGCTGAAATAGAGGGAATAGTGATTAGCCGAATTTGTTCTCATTTTAAAAAGGTTATGCTTAATTTCCCAAATCATTGATGGAAAACAAGGATAAACACACAAATGGGTCTGCAAAGGAGCACGTTGAGAAAATGACCACAGTCAGACACAAAACAAATAGAAGCTAAATAGCCAGAATTAGACACTCAGCAGCCTCAACTGTAAAGAAATCGACCAATCGACCTGAAAAATGCAGCACTTTCTGCAAAAGAAGATAAACAATGAAGTATGAAGCCAAGTGGCTACAAAGAGGTGCAAGTCATGCACAGTCTGATCCACTATTTTGTGATGTATATTTTATTAATATTTGAGTGTTTCTTCTCCCTCTCACAGGAGTTTGGTGTTAGCTTTTGACAAGCCCTCCCTGCTTATTTCTTCTTAGATGTGAACGGATTGTGTTTATGTAAAAAAAAAAAGAGACTTTTCCTGGTCAAATTAATGGAAATGAATGGATATTCAGGTCATTTTAACACGTGTCTTTCTTGTTCCTTTCCTCCAGTGATCCTGTTCTGCATGGCGGCGCTAATCTTCCCAATAGGCTTCTATATCAACGAGGTGGGAGGTCAGCCATACAAACTGCCCAACAACACCGTGGTGGGCTCCTCATACGTGCTGTTTGTCCTCTCCATCTTCTTTACCATAGTGGGACTGCTGTTTGCAGGCAAAGTTTGCCTTCCAGGCTGAGGACTCTTCACGCTTGCCTCTTGACTGACACAGGAGGCTCTGAAAGTTTTATGGGATTTACAAGAACACTAACTGAAAATCAAAAACAACTAACTCTGGCCAGGAGCCCCGAAGGGGGGTAATCTCTGCTTATATGTCAAGGGACCGCAGCCCCACGAGGATCCTAACTACTAAACGATTGACATGAATTGCGAACAAAACACTAAACGGGGCCATGGGCCCGACGGGGTGGAGGAGTGTGAGAGGGGACAGCCCAGGCTGTCGCAGCCCCCTGCCTCTGCCCAATTCAGATCCGGCCGTCTCTGTTTTTCTGTGGGAAAGGGTGCTTCATGTACCGCTGTCATGGCAACCGCACCGACAATGCTGGCGCACATTTCTTGAGGACCACTACAGCCGCTCCTCGACTTGACCCCCCCCCCCCCCCCTTTGCTCAGCACACATCTGCTCCGTCACGTCCGCTCCTGTTGCTATTTTTGGCTTCTCTTTGCTATTTTCTGTTGTTGTACAATTTGTTCTTCTGTTTTTTCTTCCATGCCCTGACCACCTTCCCAGCGAGGTATTGTAAGTGTTGCTGAGGTTCCCTGAACGGAAGCCTTGAAGGGAATTTAAAGGGTTCCTTAAGCCTGGCTTGAGACCGAGGCGTATTCCTGTCTAGCGAATGGCACTGCCCCCGGTGTGCACTTTAGGAGAGCAGCTGCAATCCCAGCTGTTTTGGCACACACACACATACACACACACACATGGCCAGATATGGGTTAGAGATAGATGCAGGTGTGCTTCCTCTTATCTCAAGCAGCCCGATGCTGAGGAGCTGGTGGCAGCAAAAGAGAGAACTCCCTGGGCTGCAGAACAGGAGGTCCAGCACCAAGAAGGAGAACGCCACGTTCTTAATGGACCACGCTTAATGGTTTTAGACAGAGAGAAACAACAAGTTAGCGCAGGCTGCTCAGCTAAACCCGCCATTCTGATGCACATTCTTGGTTAGCAACTAGAAGACTGTGATTTAAACGAACAATCTCCTGAACGTAGACACTTGTCTTATGCTCGTAGAAACCTTAAGTACAGCCATGCGCACAGTGGCCTCTTCGAAAGGATTCTCTGGCCTGGGACATCGCTTCAGTTTGGGTTTCGGGGGCCATGAGATACACCCACATATTGCTGACAGTATTCAGTTTTTATAAATGGGACTCTGAGTTACATGTGGTGTGAAAATAACGTGTGAATGCTGAAAGTCGGCGGTATTCTCCTTTAACGTTTGATGGGGGTAAGCCAGCCAGGAGCTCTTTGCTTTGGTTTTGTTTGTTTGTTTCTTTTCGGGCTCTTGTTTTGTGCACCAGTGGAGGCGCTGGGACTGCAGGTCCGGTCCGTGCGTGGGGCTGTGCCTCAGGGTGCTGCTCCAGAGGGCTGTGGATGAAACGCACACAAACACACATTCACTCTATCTGTGCTGTGTCAGTCCATGTCTTGAAGCTGAAGATAACAGTTATTTACTGTTTGTCGGTCATAGCCCTTTTTAGTTTTTGTATTATTCCCATCATTTCAAGCAAAGGCCCATTTTCATTGCACACAGAGTACACTTCATCTCAAACATTTACCAGAATACACTAAGAATACACTAAATACAATAAGTTAGAAATGTGCTCATATTTATTTTAAAAAATCTGATTTCAAACTGATTTCTTTTTCCATACTTAGTGGTTTTGGGATTATCAGTGGGTGTGAACAGGGCATCTCACATGAGTCAGTTTTCACACAAGAAATTTCTGGATCTGTTCCAAAGAGGCTGACTGTTAGAGCACAAATGCTTGCACCAGCTAGACTTTATAAACAGCTATTGCTGACCAGACGCATGGACAGAGTAAAAAAAAGAGGAGAGAATTTCTGGAGGGAGCGTGAGAAAGGAGCAACAAAAACACAGACCTAGAAATAATGAGGGGAAAAAATCCAATGTTTATATCTTTAGCATGTGCCTCCTAAATGCTTTAAAGACTTTCCAGTTGTGATAAACCTTATCAGGAGCCTCCCCCAAACACTGGAGAGTGTTTGGATCTAAATCTGATTCCCTCGACACCCTCTGGTGATCATGCTTGAAATGGCTTTATTTAGCTGTGGGCCACAGCTCAAATTCTTAAACCTGTTTGTGGCCCCATTCTAACAGATGTCTAAGCAGTTGCAGTTTTTTTTTTTTTTTTCAGTGGAGGCATATAGGGAGAGGGGTGATCTGCTGGGGGGCATCAGGCATTCGCTCCTGGGCATGCACAACAGTAGCAAGAAACTCATTTATGATGGAAAGATGAAGAGAGCTTTTTAACATCTGGAGTTTGGAGCATATCTTAAGAGATCTGCAGATATTAATTGAAGATAGATGCAGCAGACACGTCCCCTTCGGACATAATCTCCATCTATTTGGATTCAGTGAGTCCCAAGTGAAAGATAAGACAGGATTGAGTCACGCCTCACTTGTTTTCCTCTGCCAACCAATAATTCAGAGAGGAGAAAGCTGTCCATCTGCCTGTGTCATCATTCAACACGCGCTCATCAAACGTCTTCCATCTCAAAAAAGAAACTCATCTAAATATTAGAGGTGATCATAGCAGAGAAAGTTCTTAACTGAATAGTCGCAAAAAGGGCATAATCAGTTAAATAGTCGCTGGCCAGTTCTCTTCCAAAAAGTCAGTTGCTATTTTTTGTTTCATTAAAATGGCTAACGTCCTGTTTGTACTCACCCGTGTGAAATCATGAGCTACTGACACTGATCTCTGTTGTGAAGTGTGTTTGTGTGTGTTCAAACACTCACAGTCACTCAGTCTTAAAGTCTTAGAGTATGTTTTTCTATTTCTGTTTCCTGCAGCCTCTCTTGATCTGGATTTGATGATGTATACTGCTAAACTACACTCTGCCTCGGTTGGTTTAGTATTGTGCCATGACCTGTTTTTTGTTCAATAATGTACAGACACAAAAGGCAGGATTTCTGTATTAGGAAGCACTGTGCATTCAACAGTATAGGTAAAGGACATAGAAGCACCACAAATGTATTAAGAAAAAAAAGACAAAAAAAAAAAAGAAAAAGGAAAAAAAAGAGAACTTCTTACCTCATGGTTTTTGTTTCTGCTATTTTTTCTAATGTCGGCAACGTGTGTGCCCTCTAATTTGTCTCTTGCCTTGATCGGATGTCTACACATAAAGCCTATGATCATAGGAAATTATTTATCACTTAATAAAAAGAGAAAACTGGGTGTGTGTGACTCTGACCTTGTCTGCTGTGTGCTTTTCTAAAGGGAAGAAAAAAACAGGCACGTATTAATGCAATATCTTATGAGACGTGACCCCTCTTCGCTTCCTGCTTGGCTGTCTAAAACCGTCGCAGCCGCCCTGAAAGCATCGGGGGGGCCTCATAGGAAGCCAAATCTCTGCCTCAGTATTGATGGGAAACTGAGGCAGCGTTGCTCTTCCCACAGCCGCAGATTGTGTTTCACTTTATCAACTTACTGTACCCATCGGTGCCCTTGATATCTATTTTTAGAAAAGCATTATCTGTGCCCTAATTAAGTCAGTCACATTGGGTCTAAGCCTGATATCAAAGAACATTAATAGCACTCGTCCCTCCGACATTCTGAGCCCAGTCAGTGTTTCACCTTGATCAGAACAGCTGGGTAACTGTGTTAGTGTGTGAGTCTGTTGGGGAATAGCAGCATTTCTACCTGTATTGTTAAGAGTATTAGGTTGCTACTTTGATTTGATATATTATAATTGAATAAATAAGGTGCATAACCAAAATAATATCCTTTATCTAGCTACATTTGAAAGGCTACAGACTAATACCCCAAGGGTTATTTTTTGTTTTATATTTGACAGCCATTGCCGCAGCCGTTGTACAAACACACTCTCAATGCAGCCAAAAAATCATGCTAGAAAGTCTCACTTTGTTCTGTAAGATAATCAGATGAATCATGAATAGAGTAAAAATAAGACCAAAAAAGAAGTTTAAACTAAAACAGCATGCATGTATCAGGAATGTAAACTGATCAAAATAGTTATTTCACCGATGCTTGTTAACTTCTTTTTTCTTTTCCATGAAATATCAATGTATAAGCGATTAATAGAAATGCTTTTTGCTTCTAATTAGCTTCAAATGACTGGACAACCAAACAAATGGCTTAGCAGTAACATCCTTGCCCGGTTCACAGTCAGCAGGTAAGTGACTGCATCCATCCGGAAACAGACTCACTTATAAACATCAATAGAGTCCTCTGGTCTTTCTTTTCCTTCTTGTCATCCATTTGTCGTTTTCTCCCTGTTGGCGGCAGCTGAAGATAAGACACTTCCATCCTTTGATGGGTGACCGGGAGCGTGGAGTCAGTTTTGAGAGGAAATTTCATGTGGGAGAAAAACACTGTGGGACAGAAAATGAATGCTGGAATGATTTTTCTTGTTTTGTTTTTTTTACACATTTGGCAACCATTACCTGCTTCAGTTTTCTGTCTCCATCACTGACAGATACTCAGCTCCTTTCTGGGTTTATGGAGCCTCACTGTGCTTTAGTAGATGGTAAATCAGGAGGCAAGGCATCAGAAAATCCGTGGTAATTACTGCTGCCATCTGTTACCACGGCGGCTTCAACCTGAGTTTAGGAGCCCCTCAAGGGGTCACGAGATGAATCGGCTGTAATTGGCTGCAGGATGAATAAGTGACACTAAGAGTCTGCCGTCATGCTACTGTATGCAGTTGAGACACTGTTGTGCCTAACAAGCTCAGCACGGCTGTGTTTAGCGAGTATGCCCAGTTGGATACAGGATGTTAGCGCTGTAACCGGAGAAGGACTAAATACGATGTTTCAGTCAGGGCCGATGCAGCTGGCTGCCATTAGCTTTCATCATTTACCAAACTGTTCGACAAGAATGGACAGTTTTCACGAGCTAGCATAGAAAACAAAAGGCTTGTTAGACTGTTCAGTGTCAGATGATTGCCAAAAAAATGACATAAATGTAAACCAAATCTCAATTTTGTGGGTGTGCTGCAGTATTTGGATGGGCTATGGACATTCATTCATCCATACATTCTATCTGCGTGCTTTTTTCTGAGCACAGTGTGGGCTGGAGCCTGTCCATATAGATCATGCTGCAAGCACAGACTCAAACTCAGCGGGTAAGAACCTCACAGATGAGACAGCTCGAGCTGATGAAGTCTGGCCTTTGTAAACCTTAGCAGATGGTTAATGGTGAGTTATGGCAGGACAGATCAACTGATTCCACAAGGGCAGATTAGGTCAAGATATGAGGGTGATGTTTCTGTACTTACCGACTAGATCACAGCAAATTCAATACACACTGCTTGATTTATAAATAATTGTATGGATGAACTAAAACTCTTGAAGCAAATTTTTCCCTCTGGGAAAACAGCTAAAAAATCTATGGAGTCTTTGTGGGCACAAACTGGATTATCCAGCACATAAAACAGCCATCTAATATTGTGGAAGAGCCTCAGTCGGCTATCTGTTGAGCTTATTTCTTTAATGTCCCATTACAGAAGTTATTAATCCTCTAATGTATATCTGTATGCCTCCTCAAGTTCTCATGCATTTGCAAATGTCAAAAGATGTTCCCTTTCTTTCTTATTTATGGAGAAGGGATCTATAAAAGTGACAATCTACACCTCCCGGTCTCTACTATGACGAAATTGGATAAAAGTGTATTATGGCCACACAGATGTATTTGGAGAAGTAAGAAGTTACTTGTGTAGATCACCATAGATGTGCGTTTGTATTTCTTTGTCCGTCAGTTGGTGAGGTGTCATTTGTGTGTAAGAGCGAGTGTTGATATTTCCCTTTGTTTGGCTCCTGAACAAGGCGAGCATAATTTGTGGTGTATGGAAGAAAACTGAGGTAAAATTCTTAGGTCATGCAGCAGCAGTCCTGTATTTTAGATGTAAACTTGTGTACCATTCTTTCACAGTTTGCAGTTGGTCTTCCTGATAAAATAGATGATCTTCTCGACACTCTGCCAAGTGCGCTTAGATGGGAATATGGCTGCCATCTGTCCATGAGAGACACTCCAGCTCTCTCTGCTCCACCTGAGGAGAAGATCGACCCGCTGATGATAATATCATCTGTGAGTCTGTGTATTAAAGTAAAACGAGGGGCTTTTTTTCTTTTAAAAAAAGGACAAAGAATAAAAGAAAAAAAATTGTAATGTTCAAAATAGTTGTTTTTTTTATTTCTATTTTGAGGCGTTTCACTCTGGCAGTTTAAGCAATATAGCGAATATTTTTACCTGTCATGATCCATGGTTTTTCTGTTTTTATTTCCTCCATAACCCCAAAACCTAATCCTTCCAATTTGTTATTTTTTTGTTCATGACTTACCCTCTTTCCTGTGACTTTCTTGCCTTCAATTTTTGCTTGTATGTGGACCTCTGACCATATCAGATTTTTGCTGGAATAGATGTTTGTAATAGAGTCTGTTTTCTGGTTTCTCAATGCTCAGGGTTTTACCTTTTATCAGGGTGCTACATTATTTTTATTATTTTGTCTTTTGTTTCCCACATTAAGTTTAGGTTTCCCCTCTCAGTTGCATTGTGTGTGTAAGAAATAAAAAAAAACAAGATAGCAGCCAGCTGTTTACCATTCAGATTGCGACGTTGCCAAACTCTATCCTCAGGATAGCCTCATGGAAGAGTATCAATGTTCTTGAAAAGCACAATCACTTATTTACCTTAAACAAACTATTCTACAAATAGTATCATTTTCATTTCTAATGATTAAGGATATCTTCAAAAAAGGCCCATTTTAAAATGACCCTTTGAAATGAAAATGCCAAAGAAGCAATCACTAAAAAATGGCCCAGTGCCTGTCATGGACTGTTGTTGGAAAAGATGATAGACATTTTGGCTTCAAAGAATCACAATGTGGCCATGTCGTTTGTGAGAGTGCTGGTTGATGTCCATTTAGCTGCTCAATTTGTGCACATAAAAAGCCTAGATTAGCAGTAAAAGTGCTGTTTGCACATTGTATTCAAAGTGCTATGCTTCACCTCGGTTTCAGGGGTGTTTTGCAGTTGCTAACTTTAGTACTGATACTGATTGATCTTTTAGTGGGCGACAGCCGAGGACACAGTGCTGTTTCCTCCCAGACGGATGTCTATCTCTCTGCTGCTCTTCAGCATCCATCTTACAGCAAAACTCCAGTTCAGGCTGGGTAAACAGAAATCAGAGGCAGAGAGACTATTTGTGGAGCTCAAACACTTGAAATGAACACAGTGTTCCCAGAGAAGCACCCACTGTGAGCAATAGTGGATTACAGTCAATGTTTTTACTTGTGTTATTAAAAGTCTTGAGTGGAGCGATATTAGTCCTCTTTGATTATGTTTTTTACAATTTACATATATTTACATAATTGCATTTATTTGCCTTTGTTTTTTCTCAATTTGCTTGTGTTTTTTTGGTCTGGCTGGCATATTGGTAATATTCATACATAAGTTGTTTTTTTTAAACAAGCAGGAAAAGCTATTTTATTTGCATGATAATCAATCTCACGAGTTAAATTCATAGCATGTTGTTCAAACTAATTGTTTCCATCTTTAGAGTTGTGCTGTCATCATTTAAAGATTAAATGTTGCCAACGCTCGTTTCACTGATGCATTTTCTTTGTAATTCCGTAAATGGTCTTTCTTTCAGAAAAACAAATGGAGTGCATGATTGGTCTAAGCTACTTACTCTAAGTGATTGAGTTTCTTTATTTGTGGTAATTTACTCTCATCACATAGCTGGTTATACTGTGGCTGCATCACTCAGCTCAGTGCTTTGGTTTTACTGTCCACCACATTGCTCATACAGAATAGATGATATCCCCTCATCAGCAGCAGAGATGGACACAGTCAGCAACAATCTGGTGAGCGTAATGGAGGATGTAGATATCAAAACTGGAGAGAAAATGTGCTAAATGCCAAAGCAGAGCATTTCAGTTAGCATTTATCAATTATTCAGGAGCCAGTGAGATTTTTCACAAAGGAGCAGCAGGTCCGCATGCTTCCAGGCTGATCGCTATGCTTTTTCAGCAGAGAGAAAATGACAAAAAAATGTAATAATGAAATAATCTGATTCTGCCAAGCTGTTTGCTCCGGTGCCAGAAAATCTCTCAGAAAAACGAGAGTTATTGCAAGTGCTTTGTGATATTTTGCATGAAGAAGACTTGAAGAGGACCAGACAAAGGAAATACTAAAAATAAGTGGTTGAGTTACATTAAACATCTACAGTCCATTCCTCAGAATTATCTACATAACCTGAAAAACTTGGTTAAATGTTTTTTGCCAGCATGCTTGCTCTGCATGTCAAAGCGTACTGATTAGCTTTTCCTTATGCTTCATCTGTGACCAGCTCAGCAACACGATGCAGATCCGTTGTAATTTCTTTCATTAATTCTTTATTCACACGTCTATGTGAACATTGACAGCTGCTATTTACTTCATGCATTTATCTACTAAAACAAACAAAAGATGCCAGATTGACAGAACTATTGAAATGCTACGCACGCATGTACATACTGCATTATAACAAAAAGCAGGGACTGAAGCCAAATGTCATCTGACTAATAGTGTATGGAAAACGCACAACGGAATTGAGGAAGATTTAGATTACATTTGACTGCTGATCAGGACTGATGGTTTTGCATAAGATGCAATGGTTAGTTCGTCCTAAGACTTTGAGTAAGGGTTCCTCCTGCATCCAATTGTTTTTACTGAAGCTTTCTAGAGCATTGTGTGTATGATTTTGCTCAGTTAACTTTCAAATTGAGCTTTTTTATTTTTACCTGTTAGCAATCAACTAAAAAAATTTTGGTGTGGCCGTTGAGTATTGTGCCAGTCTGGTGGAACTTAACACCATCCGACTGACTCCTGAGGAATTCTCTTACTTACTCTCCTGCTTTTCTTTCTTTTATTCCACTCCTCAAACGAAGCCAACCTCATCCTCCCTCACCATGCCTCGGATATTACAGCTGACACATATCCTTTCAAGTGCTTTCCCCATGTGAAAGCAGCCATTATGCATCAAACTCTGAGGTATCCTGAAGAACTGCCCAGTCATTGGAACTGGCAGGCTTTTTGCCCCTGTTTTTGGTATGTTATTTTAACAGTAGGTTATGCACTCTCATGGTCCGCAGACCAAGCCCGCTGGCCAATGTTTATTTTTACTGATCCACCCTGTTTATTTTCATGAAGGTATTAATGTCTATTTTGATATGCCTCTCGTGTTATTTCAGATGAGTCATTTGGAGATGTGTGGGTACATGTGAGAACAGTCTGTGCCTGCATGAGGATGGCAGGAAACATGCACGACAGTCAGGGTGTGTGTTTGCTTGCATTGGTTAGCAGAAAACATGCATATCATTATTTTTGGCATCCTGCTGTAAAGAGGCTTGTTTAGCTTTTTTTTTTTTTTTTGTCTGTCAACAATTGTTTTAGGAGAGGAAAATATGCTTTCCTAGTCAAAAGGATGGTCTCTCATGCTACTGTGTGCTGAATTTGCAACACTAAAAAGCTTTTTGTGAGCTTTTTATGGATAATATAAATCAGTTTGTATAATGTTTACATTTTCTTTTTCCTTAAAAGGCTTTTGTATTATTGATTTAATACTCAGTGTCCCTTAAGCAGTAATACGATGTGGGCCCTCTGACTGGTCCTGAACAGTGGCCATTCCATGGTCTGTATCCTCTTACAAAAACCTTCTAGGCCCCAAAGACTCAGAGAATTGGCTTAAACTAAGACTTAGACTTAGTCTAACTGATTTGAATCTCTAGATCTTCTGGCTAAACAAGGTGTGCACCAATTGCAATGAACTAAACACCAAAATAACATTCTTAGAAAACCACAAGTTTTATAAATCAGACAGTTATGATTTAATTGAATTGAATTAAATATTGTATTTTTTGTTTACAAGTGAGCCACATAAGGTTGTCAAAAGGATGTCAGCGTACAGAAAAATGGCAAAATAAAGTTTTTTGTGAGTGAACCTTTGCTCTCAGTGTCCGGCGTGACCCCTTCCGTGTGTCATCAGATTTACCCTGATTTTACCAAAGCCAGCACCTGCCACAGAGAGGGAGCCACCACCAGGACCTGCTAAGCTGCTGTCCCACATAAACTTATTCTCGATCAAGTGTGCTGCCAGAGGCTGTCTCTGGGTCAGTTGACCTTCTTGCAGCTTTGGTTCCACATCCGTGGCCAATGGATGACTCAGAGAAGCAATCACCTGAGGCTGGGGAGTCTGGGTCAGAAACCAGGCCAGCCAGAGAGCCTCCCATCTGTCCCACCTGACGCTGCATCTTTGTGGATCACAGGTTTTTAAAGTTTCTTGCGTCCTGTTTTTTCTGGGGGTAAAAGTTTGTTGTATTTGGTCCTCATTTTCCTCTCATCAGACAGAAAAAATAGGTCCTTTCTGTTGTGGTTTTTCCAGCATTGTTTCGTTCTCCTGATGGTGGGCTTGATGACATCAATGATTTTGAGAAATGCTATTCGTGGTCACAGCTATTCATTGCCACCTCCCGGACTATATTTAAACCTTGCACTTAAAATATATTGAGTTGTTTCCCTCTAAGCTAGGACAACAACAACTGCTGAGTTCACTTAGAGGTACACTTCCTTCCTTCGTTCACCACTATTAGAGCCATGATCTCTCACACACCTAGTTAACATCTCATTGACTAAAAGCCTCCAGGCCTTTTTTATGTCTTCCAATGAATTCTTCATCAAATATGTTTGCCACTCAGACACTGGATAAACCTCGGATTAGATTTCTCAGCACATAAAAAAACCATTCATGATGTTTTGAGTCGCATTATTTATTAATAAATACAGATGTTTTTAGTATGAATAACAGAACTAGCTGTTCCTTTTGTACTAAATATAATGGCAATCCTCCAATAAAGCTGATGATATGATTTAGTAAAAAAAAAAAATCAGTCAGCAAGTGGCGTGGATGAATAATTCAGTGGAGCTCTCTGTCTCAAAGCTCTCTTGGGCCTCAGGCGAACCTGAACATTTCACAATGCATCCAACAATCTAAGGAGATAATTTAAGAACATTTTGCACGTCAGTTGTTCTCGTCCTCACTCCTCCTTGTCACCAGTCCTCCATTGCTCTCCTCCTAATTGTTCCGTCCTCCGTTGCCTTAAGCAGCGCATCGCAGACGGTCGTTAATTGTTGAGGAGCATGCTGGGACAGCAGCAGCTATCATTAACACACTTTTGTGTCACAAACACAAGCCGAACTCAGAAAGGAAATCTTGTTTTTGTGCATGGGGACAGGGATGATTGATGCGGCCCTTAACTGTGGAGCTAAGAGAGAAGATTCTCATTGGCTTTTATCCAGATCACTGAACTCTCAAACACACGACATATCTGAGCTGCGGTGATGCTTTACTGTGTGTGTGTGGGTGTGTGTGCATACAAGAGCTGAGTCAAGCTGAAGGACTCTGTCAGGGATGATTGGAGGACGCCGCAGTCATCGCCATAGTGCATGACTGTAATCCTGTTTGTCCTCTACCTCGTTTTTTTTGCACTTCACAAAGCTGCCGCAGTTTGTTCATCCTGTTTTTATTTTCATAGCCGGTTTGTGCGCGGTAGATAAATGATAAGGCTGCAGAGTTAATGCCGTTCCGGGCTCTTCCATCGTCTCCCCGTCCTTTGCCTCGGGCCATCAGGTGCGTCAGGACAGCTGCTCGGCTGATTGGCCTCTGGAGCGATGGATGGAGTGTCGCCTTGCCAAATATCGATTGCCTGAAAGCCTCTGACCTCCACAAGAACAGACCCAGAGTAAAATCTGTCAAAGTCTGCCAGGATACTGGCTGTGGTGCTCCTTAGCCTACTCCTGGCACGTTACAGAATATTGCCTCTGAAAGGAAAACCCAAGCATACATCCAATGAAACAATCCATATTGATTTCAGACAAATACGTTTTGAGTGTTTTCGTCTTCATAACATTTCTGCTTTCAGGAACAGGATTTGTCATTGACAATTTGGTTGGCCAAACTTTTACCTGCAGACTAAAACAGCCTCCTGAAACATGACAGATAATACCAGGCTGCTCACACCACAAATAGGAACCAGAAATCTTAAAAGAACTCCCAAAAATGCTCTCTATCCACATATGGAAGCATCTAAATTTAGAGATCACATGTTTATCAGTTTATCTGCAAGTAGCAACATTTGGCCTGTGAAAAGGGGTTGTGAAATGTCCCCTGAGGCTCTGGGAGAAGTCTGGTGGAAATAAAATATATCTGATTATGTCACAACAATGTCATCATGGTGATTTAATCTTTGACTTTAGATTTGATCTTTTCATTACTTACTTTATCATTTTAAACTAAATAAGTGGCTGTTTAGGAAAGATTTGACCCATGTTTAATGAAGGGAAATGCTGGAAACTAAATCTGGGGACGTAAGTTGGTCGGGACCTAAAGTCATGATGGCTTGTTTGGGGCCTGAAATTTACTTAAGCACAAATCTGACAATTGTAACTTTTAGAGAGAATCACCATTAGATGCAGCATAATGAAAAGGCTCAGTTAGGCTGTTAAGTTAAAGAAAAATCTAGAAGTGATGAGTTTAGCTTGACCCTAAAAGTGAATTAAACTAGTGTCAAGAGTATATACTGTAATACACAAACTTATCTGGGTTCAAATTCCAGTTGAGTTTCTACTCGGTGGATGCCAGTACACGGATCCCGTCTTTCCCCGGGGGTTCACGCTCGCAGAGTCTCTTTTGGAAACTGTCCTGTGAGCTCTGACCTCACTAATGAGAGTGTTGCTTCTGGCTGAGAGAGATTTCCTTTGCCGTGTTTAACGTTGAGTAGGGGTCACAGAGGAACTCTGCCTTCTTCCTGTCCGTCCTCTGCCCTCCTGTCTCATTTCTACAGCTGCACACAGTCATGTATCTGCACTTCCTCTCGTCTAATGATTTAATACATTTGTGACTCTGGGATCTAACCAGACCAAAGCTTTTTTTTGTCTTTTTCTTTCTTATTTGTTTTGTATTTAGTTTGCCTCAAAACTGTTTTTAAAAGTTTTCAATTTAGTTTAGTTACACAGATTTTTCTCTCCTACCACTTAAAGATCCCAACTTCGCTTGACTGAGCTTCCACAAATTTTTAATTGAACATGACACAAGCAATCTTCTACGAATGAATCATTGTGACTCTGATATTCTTATGAGAGGGTCATGGTAGACTGGCCTCTCCCACCAGCTTCTGGGCAGTGATTGATAACCAGTCACCAGGCCGTTTTGCAGGACCGTGCATGCCACTTCACATCTCCCTCCTCCTAAAATCAAGACGAGATAAAATGATGAATGTCTCCACTTTTTCATTTAATCATCTTAACAAAGAGTATCCTCCACCTGCCATTACAGGAGACAGTTCACAAGACTGCTTCAGTTTTTTTTTCTGGAATGTCTTTGGTGCAAGAACCTGAATTGCAGTTATTCTTTTCTTTTGAGCAGGAACATAATGTCCCTATAAAAGAGGGACAGAACTGCAGTGTCATTTTATACTTTCCACTCATCAGACCAGCAGACAGCCTCTGATAGCACTTATCTCTTATCGTTTCCTGCATTTTCAAGTAGACTTTTTAAAGAATCCTTTGAAGAACTGTAGTAACTGGTCTTGCGTAATGTCTTCATCTTATGATGTTTATCAAGACTCCAACTTTCTAGATAATCCGCACCAAGTCTGAGGGTGAGGGGACTGGATGTATATCTGTGTATATCTAGTTGTCTGGCGCCCCCTGCTGCATTCAAATCAAACCTTATCCAAACACTGTAACTGATTTCTTTTTCTGGCATCTGGCAAAAAATGTACTTACTGCTTGATTGACCCACTAAATCATAAATGATGGACAGTTTCTCTGCTAGTCTCTGACCCATAAAGTTCTGATATCCTTGAATAATTTATAAACTTTCTCCTCAATTGTTGGAGGGAAATCATAATATTTCTTAATAGATGAACAGATTAAAATATTTGAATCTGTAAGTGATCAAATGTTTCTAATTATGATGTTAGACTGGTAAATGCAATCTATGAAGTTTCCACATCACTCATTGTTTCACATCAGGAAATTAATTTTCAAGCAGGTGTATTCATGCATAATGACAGTGATGACATATAGTGGAAATAACAGCCCAGGACTTATTAGACTGCATGACGTTTTAAAATCCTTGATCTATCTTAGCCAGCTTTGCAGGTTTGTTCATCTTCCTGTCACTGCTGCACAGGTTAGACAGGGTGATGGTTCCCAACTGACTGTGATTCATCGACATGAGGAGCAGCATCTAATGAGAGCATAACTCCAGCCTTTCTATCAAACCAAGAGCTGAAACCGCAAATGAGCAGCAGTAAAAGGAGAGCACAGACAGATCTGGTTCCATGATTGACTTTGTCGAATTTGAATCATTTAGGCTTTTCCACAAAGCATGAGCACCTTTAAGTCCACCTCATTCTGATAAAGACCAGTTATAAGCGTGCAGCAGTAATAGGGGACAGTGGTATAAGTATTTGGCCACTCCGCTGCTGCTGGAGACTTTTTTCCTCTCTGTTTAATTATGCGCTGCACATTCTGCCGTCAGCTCAGGTTTGGCAGTCTGTCTGCTGTCAGTTAATAAAACATGAGGCTTGTATGTCCTCCTCAGGAAGCAAAGCTCCCCCTGCTAGGTTTATCACCTGTTTTCCACCACGGCACACCACTGTAAAGGACAGTTAATCACTGGGTCGTACAGCTTTGCTGAACTACTTCTTCTGTTTCTGAATGAATCGTCATGTTGTTGAGATAGAGCAGTGCAGTTTAGCTCATCAGCTAAACTGTCAGTGAGTGCAATATTTATTTCACTCTGTTAGACTTTTATCTTTTTATCGCCCAAAATATCTAAAGAATTTGAGGCTTTAATTAATCACATCACACTTCAAATTCCAATTAAGATGATCTCTCTATCCTCACTATCCTTTCCATCCCAATGATCTATGAGGATATTATTAAAGTTTTTATAGATAGATGCTCTAACAAATAATTTTTTTCCGTTCTTTACTTCCAACAAAGCTGTAGATGTTCGATGGTTTGGATCATAAATGCTATCCCCCAAATTCTCAAACGTGTATTTTTTGTTGTTTTTTGCTAGTGTCATGTAGGGTGGGTCTTGAAGGGAGGACTCAGGTGCGGAGATGAGGGAGGACAAGGTTTATTGCAACAAAAAACACTCTTGAAGAGTGAATGTCCAGACAAAGTACAAATCAAGGCTGTGGAAAACTGTGAGCAAAGGCAAAGTAACAAAATATAGAATAAAAAGACTTAGGCAAAACTATGACTGTGACAAAGTAACAAAATAAAGATTAACAAGACTGTGACAAAGCTGTGGAAAAAACTGTGACTATGACAAAAAGCAAACCTGGCGTGGGGGTGACGAAAGACGAAACGGACGAAACGGACAAGAACGCACTCGCACAAGACAAGGGGAAACGAGGACTATTTAAACACATGAGGGAGGGGAACCCCAGGTGTACACAAAAGGTAATCATGACATGACGAGACCCCAGACGTGACAGCTAGACTGTGAGAAGATAAGGTTAACAACTCCACGTATTGTTTTTGCTTGAAAACAGTAACTAAAAACTTGCATTTTGCTTTTGCATAGCAGGCCTAAAAATGCAATATATAATATCGTTTGGATCATGACTAAGATACATGTGAAAATTTGGTCTTTGGTGAACTAAAGTGTATAACGTACAGTATGGAGTCGAGTTTGAATTCAGAATTTTCTCTTTCCTAAGTCAGTTAAAAGACTTGGAAAGTGAGATATTTGGAGCATGTGTCTAAAATTCATGAAGCCATTTTTAACACCGTATGTATTATTTGAATAAGTTCTGTTCTTTGAGTGCTGCTGGATATGTTAATATAATTCCTCTAAGAAGCCTGGACAGGTAAGGCATATAACCTGATTACACACATCAGATTCTTCTGAGGTATAAGGACTTCGGTCTTGTTGAATATGTTGCTGTCAGTGGGCTTAAAATGGGTTTTAAAGCTGCTGCACGCCTGCACACCTCATACAGGCATTGCGGTAGGAGATCTTCAGGTGTGTGTGCAGGTGACTGACACCCTGGGAAGAGGTGGGGCTTTGGGAGGGACTGAAAACTGCAGGGCTGCATTTCTTCATAAGGCCACTGCCACAGGTATGGATATGATGAAAGGAAGAGAGCGACAATAAGGTAAGTTAACTGATAGGATTATTAAACTGAGCATCAGGAAATTAGAAATAAGTGTTAAACGTAAACCATTTATCATGTGCTAAACATCCCATCAGCTCTCTGATGCAGGAGCAAAATGTATCTGGTTGTTTTGCTGGACTTGGTGTATCACAGAAAGCAGAGTGATATTCTGCATGAGGGTCAGATAGAATGTAAGAGGTTGTTAATGTGGTCTGATCCTTACATTTTCACTACTGAACCCTTTTAAAAGCAGCTTGGCTGAATGGCTCACTTTCAACTTTTCAACCCTTCAGGATATCTATGGAACTTTACAGTCCCAACATGAGCAAGAGCGGGGCCTCTGTGGTCCAGGTCAAGCAGGTGTCCTGCCACGGTGTCCCTCCTGGTTGCCTGCAGGCCGGCGGACACCACGCGCGCAGCGTCCCCCACTTCCCTTACAAATCGTGGGCCAGTGATCCAGCTCACGCACTGACCTCCGGCCTTACCCCGGCCGTACGTCACAGGGTCAGCGGCGGCGTGCCGGGGGCCTGCAGCAGCCCGGAGTGCCTGGCCTCCAGGCTGGGCGAGGAGGCAGCAGTGGCCCACGGAGTCTCTGAGGGGAAGGTGTTGGTGACAGGAGGAGGTGGATACTTTGGCTTCAGACTGGGAAGAGAACTGGCCAGAGAGGGGCTGTCGGTCATCCTTCTGGACATGATCAAACCATCATGCGATATTCCCGATGGAGCAGTCTTCTATCAGGTATGACACACTGGAGAGGTGATGCCCTTGTACATGTTCTACTCAAATGGCTATGAAGGTTTGTGTGCATGTAAAAACCTTTTCCAGCACTCTAACTTTATTGGACACAAGGATTGTAGGAGGTCAATACAACAATTAGACAATTTTCCCGGTTATTATAGTCTGTAACTGCACAGAACAGCCACTGGAAGTAAAGATTCAGCATCTGCATCATGGTTTGATTCAACAGCAACCAGTGGAAACATATTCTTGCGGTCTTTTGGATCTAAGATTACATTATATCAGCTCGGGTGGGTCCTTCAAACATCCCAGTTTGAATATCTGCAGTATGATGCTTCTCACCTGACTCTTGTGGTCGTGTGCAGCCGTGACATGCTAGTGCTAGTGTTACCGTGTGTCAGTGTCTCTCTGGCCGGCGTGCTGGCTGGAAACAGACACAGGTGAGTGATCTGTCTCAGAGCACCAGCTGCTGGCTGGGTCAAAGAGGGTGGAGACATGAGTCAGGTTTCAAATGTGCACCTTTTGGCGCACACCTTAATTATAGCTGTCTTTCTCTAGATTGAATTTTTTTCATAGATATCGATAGGAAAGCTGCTAAGGTGTTAAGACAACAATCTTTTTAAAATGTCTCTGTCATGTCCTGGGGGTTGGCTTTCCCTCTTTCTTGCAGAGCGACATCCGGGACTATTCTTCCCTCTATAAAGTGTGTGAAGAGGTCGGCTGCGTATTCCACACAGCAGCTTATGGCATGTCAGGACCAGAACAGGTGACTCCCCCTCATGTCCCCCTCTGCTTCTTCTAGATCTGCCTCCATGTCAACAATTAGATGAGCCAAAAAAACTATAAAGAATAAGACAGTTAGAGGACCATTACAACGTAAACATGTTTCAGCCATTCAGCGTGAGACTGAGAAGTCTCAGCATCTCTGTGACCATTAATTTATCTAATCTGGAAGACTGAAGGACGGGATGTCAGTCAAATTAAAGACTAAAATATAATGTATAATAAATGACCAACTTCATATGCAATAGCAGCTGGTGTTAAAAAATCATCTTTGATGCCATGTTAATAGAAATTATACAAGCCTGTAATTACTTTAGTCAGACAACCCTTTTAGGTTTGCTGTTTCAGTCCATCAAGTTCCTCCAACCATGTGTTTCTTCCTCCTTTGCTCTTAGCCATGATTATTACGGTCAATGAAATGCAATGAAACGTGACTCTAATTGTAGCTAAATGCTCATCACATCAAATTAAATCATTATCTATAGCCAATGACTCGATGATTAAACTTACTTTCCAAAAATGTCTGTATATTCATTAAACTTGTGATAGGCAGATGTTAGTGCTCTAGTGTGCTCCTGAGCCTTAGGTATATTCAATACCTTTAATATAATTTCATTCTTCTTCTTCAGTCAGCTTTATACTAGCAGTCAGACATTTCTCCACACATACTTGTGGCAAAATATGTAATCTCCTGTAAATCAAACAAGGCAAATAAAATGTGTTCCTCTTTTGTTTTTGTGCCTTTCTCCTCAACGTGACATATGCTGCCATGCTGTCATACTAGATTTTTTTTGGCCTCTGTCACCATGAGATCTTCCTCAGGATCAAAGGCATACAGTATTATCTAACTGATACCATCCCAGTTTCTTCTAAAACATGTGAAATAGTCACACAACAGAACACAATGTATGGAAGCTTGTGTGCGTATGTGTCACACAGCCCTTCTCAAACCTTTAAACTTGTTTCATTTCACTCAGCCATCAGCATGGGACTTTTCCGTTGAATGCTTTGACGCCGCACTGCCTTTTTTAATTGTTCTCTTAGGCTGGTGTGACTAAAAACAGAAAATATACTGACTATGGGCATGAATCAGACCTAATTTACACAACTGTTACACACTTCCAACAAAACAAAAGAAAAAATGTGCTCAATTAAGAAGTGACGTCTTCTTCTCTCTGTGTTTGACCGGCAGCTGAGGAAGGAGCAGGTAGAGTCAGTTAATGTTGGAGGGACCACTAATGTCATTAATGGTAAGAATGAATGTCATGCATCTTCAGCCCTGAGCATTTCTGACACCGTAATGCCAAGCTAATTCACTTGCAAAGTATTATACTTTGAACGGTATGAAGAGCAGAGGTGATGATTCATGCAGCTAATGACAGTTTATACAGTACAAAGTTTTTATACATCTTTTAAGGGATGACTATATAGAGCTGTGTGATCTATTCTCTTTTTCAGTTTGTAAGGAGAGGAGCATCCCCAGACTGGTGTACACCAGTACCATTAACGTGGTATTTGCAGGGAAACCAATTGAGGATGGGGATGAGGCTTCAGTGCCATATGTGCCCAGTGATCTGGTGAGCAGCAGTGAAGTACAGCAGTTATGATGCATTTACAAGCAAAGAAATGTATGATGAATATTTTCCCTCCTTCCCAGCATATTGACCACTACTCTCGGACTAAAGCTGTTGCAGAGCAGATGGTCCTCTCAGCCAATGGATCTTCCCTGAAAGGTGTGAAACGATCAGCTCATGCAGTGACAGCCCATTCGCAGAATTACACAAAGAAGTTGTATCCAGAGAAGGTTGCAATCCACCTTTTTTTTTTTTACAAAAAAGAAAAAATCTGTGTAAAACAATGTGTGTGTTGGAAAGAGGCAGCAGTTGTCATGGAAACTCAGTTTGCAATCCAATAGGCGGTGGAACGGTGACAGCAGTATCTATTTAAGGCTGCACAGAGAGGTACAGCAGAGTGCAGCAGTCACTTGACACTGATGTCTCCGGCGCTTCCATACGTTCATACCGACTGTATGTTCTGATAAGGTTTATGTTCCACAGTGTGTAGTTTGGTAACAGTTGTGCGGCGTCTCATTCCATCCTGTAGTGGAACCCAACACGCTCTCAGTAACCATCAGTCCATGCATTCAATTAAGCTCAGAGCTTGGTGGTATCTCATTATATACAGCAGGTTAAAGTTTGTGTATCTGCCACCGGAGGAGCTTTTTTCCACTGCTCTGACCTTAAAGACACCTCAGCTGTGGTGAAAAGGGCACCCGCTGAAGCTATATAATGGCTGATTTACTCACGTTCTTTTACACTTTGATGAGAATCGGTGCTGAAAGTCCTTCACATTAGATTTGGGCCAAAAACCTTCTTGAAATAATTTGCTAAATTTAGTCTCAGAATTCCTTTTTTGCTATGCTCTGCAAAGGTCTGATTTTAGATGCATTTAAAAATCCATCTAATAACTGTAGCTACATGATTAAAGCTACTTTTTCCCTTTGAGTTTTAAACTAAAGGGCTTCTCGTTGGCTACATTCTTATGTGGTTGATGCATTCATAAAAGTACAAATTGAAGTTAAACTTGTTCTCCTAGAGGAGAGAGAGGGACAGATCTTTTCCAACAAGCTGACATTGACTACCGCCAATATATGCACAGTATCTTTCCCCCCTCCAGCAAATCCATTTATTCATTTCTGTATTTATTAACGAAGGTGGAGGTGTGCTGCGGACATGTGTCCTGCGGCCGTGTGGTATCTATGGACCGCAGGAGAGGAGACATCTTCACAGAGTGATGGTGAGCAAACAAAGCCAGAGACATCCTATGATGACTATTAATCATTTTCAAAGCCAGAAACGGAAGAAAATGTACATCTTGCTGTGTCTGAAGTCTCCCCGGTAGAACACGATTCTGTCTGAAGAGTTTGGATAATTGATGAAGCTCTCCGGGCATCCAGTTACAGTCGACCTCTCTTCCACTTTTACCTCAGCGAGGCAGCAGTCAGTGAAGAAGGGGTGATTGAGTTTAGATACAGAATTAGTTTGGATAAGATGAATGACTTTTAATTTTCTGTGGCTTTCTTTTGCCTTAACCCATGAGTCCGGAGCTAAAGTGTACTTAAAGTGTATAACACAATAATATAGTCTGTTCATCTTCTTGCGATTTTAAAACACAGCCATATCTTTGGTTTTGGATATAGGCATATGTGAATATTTTAATGTTTTTTTTTTTTTATCACCCCAATGTTTTATGAAGATAAAAAGTTTTTTTTATTCTCCAAAACTTAGTAAAACAGCAACCTGGATTTTTGAAAAAAGAAGATGTTAATCATTTTATAGTACGGCTGTTGGTTCTTTTCTAATCTCTGGCAACCTAACTGCAATCAAAATAAACCTTTGGTATTCTAACAGAAAGACATGAGTTTATTCTAAAAATGGGAAAACTTCCTAAAACATAACTATAACATGCATCTGCTGTAATCAACTCTAATAAGATGAATCTTAGTAGACAGGAGACAGTGCAAACTGACCAGAATGTCATAATGTCACAAAAAGCGACTGTTTCCAAATTTTGAACTATTTTTGAACACACGCATTGCAATCTCTCAACACTTGTTACTTATCATCCATTTATGCTCAGATGAACATTGAGCGTCGGCTGTTCAGCTTCAGATTTGGTGACACCGGGGCCAGGATGAACTGGGTACACGTGGATAACCTGGTGATGGCCCACAGGCTGGCGGCCGAGGCGCTCACACTGAGGAGGAACTGTGTCGCTGTGAGTCACCTTACACCGAGCGGAAAGAGCTCAGATTAGAGACGATTAATCTAAATTCATGAATGTTTTAAGTAAGGTTCTTCAAAGTGTTTGCTCTTTTGCAGAGCGGACAGGCCTATTTTATTAATGACGGGGTTTCAGTCAATCTCTTTGAGTGGCTGACACCTTTGGTGAGTTTAAATCTACTCAGTGAAATTAAAGACCTGCATGTCTCATTTTCTTGACGGCTGTCCAATAACAAGATGATTATCTTTAAGTATCTTGAAAGTGCACATTGTATTTTTGCTTCTGAAAAAACTCAGTTTGAGTTTCCTTTGATTCCTATATTTCCGTATGCTGTCTCTCCCTACAGTTTGAAAAGCTTGGCTACAGCAGACCACTGATGAATCTGCCTGTTCCACTGGTCTATACAGCAGGTATCTTATCCCTCTTTCTCTCCTCAATTTTACAATATTTTTGCACCATACTCAATATAAAACACATTGAAGTGATGTAACTCTGTATTTGTCCTCTTTTCAAGCCATCATGGTGGAATATATACATGTTATTCTGAGACCAGTGATAAAAATCCCCCTCCTTTTCACCAGAAGTGAGGTAATTTTCCATCTCTCCATCTTTAACACCTTAATTCCACAAATGTGTGACCATCCACTTTAATATATGATCCATCTAAGACAGAGAAATTATTCCTCCAGTGGCAGTTCATGCATACTAAATACATACCTAAAGAACAGACGTTAAGTCATGGAGATGTGATTCAATACTGTGGGGCGCACAGCATGTATGTCTCATGCCTGATTAATGTTTCATGTAGAAAAAAACCCTGCATATCAGAGGAGGGAAAGGAAAGATCTCATAAGAATTTTTACCATTTACAGAAGAATTTACTTGCCAGAGAGTCAGCAGCCTAAACCTCCAGACATGTACCTTTAAAAACCCAAGTATGGCCTGAATTATTCAAATAAATGTCATCAGATAAGCAAATGCCACAGGTTTTTCTTTGTTCATCGAGTTTTTCTATTGAAACATGATAAAATAACAAAGTGGGAAGGTCTTTGCTCTATTATTGCCTCTGAAGGCTTCTTTGTGTCTGAAGGAGTCTTCGGGGCAGCCCGGTAGGTCCTCATGAATGTGTGATGAAGCAGAAACCAAAGCTGAGTGTTGTGGGCCTGGAGCTCATGGAGCTCCTTCTGTCAGCCAGCTGCTGGCCTGGAGATCGATGATTGTCCTGTGAATAAAACATACACTGCTGTGGGTCAGAACAGGAAGCTTGAGATGAAGTTTACAGGAAGTGACGTTGTTACTGCTGCTGTGGTGAACTTCTCATCTTGCATACAATCCTGGCAACTCTCCTTTGGAGGAACATGCTGCTTGACCTGGAAATCCCAGATGAAGGGAGAAAACACATTACAATAATGATAATAATAATAATACAATGGGTTTTATACAACAAGTGAAGAATAGCTGTCTCATGTAAGTAACTTAAGTTTGTGGAGATGATTTCTAGAATTCTTCTTCTTCCTCTCACTGTGTGAGAACTGTGTGTTCTCATGCACACACCTAATCTTGGGCCGTAAAAACATGCTGACTGGAGACATCCATGAGTCACATCTTATCAGCGTGTAAAAAGAAGTTGGCCTGACCGGTGTTAGTTTGAACTATTAGCTGGACATGACAGTGTGGATGTCTGTAGCTGCTGAAGGTTTTTTTTTTCAAAACATTTCTGTTTGAGGGAAGAAAAAAACATTCGGTTTCTCTTCTGCTGCAGGTCAGGAACATCACAGTGAACCACACTTTCAAAATTGACAAAGCTTGTCGAGAGCTGGGTTACAACCCTGAGTCCTACAGCCTGACGGACTGCGTGGATCAGTACCTGAAGAGCCGGCAGCAATGCTCCAGCTCAGCCCTGTTCAACATGTCATCCATCCCCCAGCTGCCCCAGAGCCTCGTCCTGCTGCTGCTGCTGGGTCTCAGCCTGATGCTAGTGATGTGGACCTGCTTACTCTGTTGGAATTAAACTATTGATACTATTACAGACATAGGTCTGGACTATAAATGATCTCAAGCTGTGTCTCTTCAAACCAAACACCAAATCTTTTTTGTCAGGGATGGAAAAGTTTTTCAGAGATGTGGAAAATGTGTCACAACTCACCAGATGCAATAAATCATATCTTAAAAATAACTCTCAACAATGTCAACAGGCATTATATCTCTGTGTCAACCTCCAAAGATAATTATTTGCATTGATCTATTTGTAAGAATTGGCATCGTAAGCAGTGGTTGTATATAGAATTCCTCTTCTCCATTTTGAAATTATGTATGCCTTATTTTAAATTCATAGAGCAACTGAAAAGTATTAAACTAGTGTTTGATTTTACTATTAGAGTATTTATTTTAAAAATGATTGTCTAATTTTGTATTACTAATATCTAATAGTCATTTGTTTTATTTGAATTATGCTTCCAGTTT